CTTCTTTTGTATTGGGAAAATTATACGTATTAACTCTTCAAGCAAACATTGATGGTGTACCCTGAGTCTCACCTTCTACATGCCTACTGCCCTTAAGAGGCATTTAAATTCATTCTTTGGGAATCTGCATGTTTTGTAGTGGCTGGACAAGGTAGAGAGAAATGTAAATAATTAGGTAATTCACCTCATGGAACTTTGCATCATTAATCAGAGCCTTCTTCATAGAATCTTCTAGAATCACAGGGCCAGTACTGAAGCCGAAATCATACTGCAGATACAGGTATCCATTTTGCATCTCCAGGCTGAAAAACATACTCTGCATAACCACAAAATTAGATTTTTCAGAAGAGATTGGACGTTAAAAATGTATATTCTATTTCATACTCTTCCTCAGTAGGTAAATCTATTAAGACTAATTTATTATCAAACTGCTTCCCATTACAATAGTCCTTGAAGCAATTTACAATCAAACGGCAAAATTTAAATACAAGCAATAATCTAAAGCAATATATAATAGTATGACAATAATATCCAAATAACTTCAAATAATCAATTGGACCTTCGTCAGAAACAGAATTTAAATAATTTACTTCTTACTATATCTGAACAGATATAAATCAACAACGTAAGAACTCGTAAAATGTGTTCTTTCTTTTCCCTTTTTTACTTACTCCATTAACCATCAGAAGGAGAAGACCATTATCACTTGGTGTTCGGACTTCTATATCAAAACGAGTCACAAGCCCAAACTTCCCTCTGCTCTCAATATTCTTTGCCAAAGCATAACCCGATCCATCAAAGAAATAGTTTACAACTCGACTCTGTGTAAAGGCCAGTTTATCTCTAACATGAAGAAGAAAAAAAGACATAAAGAAAAATTAGGAAACTGGATTACATCTTCCACTCTGGAAACTGGATTACATCTTCCACTCTGGAGACCTCACATAAAAACCAAACTCGGATGGACCAAACTGAAATAATTTGGCCTGAATGGCAATTATCTAGCTTGGCATTCATTGTTTGTATAATTTAGAAGATACACTTCTGAAGTGTTTACTGGAAGACCAAGATCAGCCCTGTTGTTAGAAAGCCTGAGATAAATGACCCAGGTGACAAACTGCCCTTCCTGTTGGAGGGCAGAATTGAGTAGCCCCAGGGCATGTCATAAACTATTTACTACTTTTGGTATGATAAAATGGAAAGGGTGCGCCATTTTGGTTTTCACCTTGGGATCACTTTTTCAACTCTTATTTTCAATCATTTTGTACTAAATACTTTTGCCATTTGAAATGCCTAAAAAAGGTTAACATAATTTTTGATAGATCATGGCCTCAAACATGCTGAACTGAAAGGGAATTAAAGCACCATACTAGAGTGGTAGAAGTTGTATAAGAACGGTGCCTTTCGATGCCATCTGTTTATATGATTAAGCAAGCAATACAGATGCATGGTAATCTGGCCATGCGATTATTTTATAAAGTCACAGCATTTTCCAACTTTAATAACATTCACAATTCCTAGAAGCAAAGAATTATAATGTTGGGAAAGGCAAAAATAATGACGTCATGGACGTCAACTCCCAGAATTCCTGAGATAGCATAGCTGACTCAGGAATTCTGGGAGTTGAAGTCCATGACTCATAAAAATCCATGAGTCATAAAAGAGCCGAGGTTGCCTACCCCTGATCTCGTCCAAATGACCATTTGCTCGTGAAATCCATTATTTCATAATTTCTGTTAAACGGCTATCAACTGTATATAAACCATGAACCTTCACTATGTTTACAGCTTCTATTGTCTAGCACCTTATATTTTCAGAAAGGTCTTCCTTCATATGGAATTCAAATGCTAATAATTTGAAGTGGCTGCTTTGGATATTACACTCAGGAGTTAAAGGAAAATACGTTTGTTCAATCAGTTAAGTACAGTTCTTCAAATATTTGAAAATCAATATTATATAACTATGTAGTTTTTTTAAACAAAACATTTCTATGCCTTACTGTAGGCCTTATATCATAAAACATAGGAGTATTATATATGTTTGTCACCCTGAGCTATTTATAAAAAAATAATAAAGGCAGGATATAAATAAATCAGTAACATTTTATCTTGGAAAAAAAGGATTAGAAAGTATTTTTTAATACCTATCCAAAGACCTCCACAGCTTGTTATAGATTTTACACCAACAAAATAGTTATCAATATCTTTATTTATAAAGATGTAAATGTTTAAAATTTGCTCTTGATAGAGGCTAATTATCAGAATTGTTACATGTGATTGCAGAAAGAGAGAGGGGAAATTTAAAAGCAAAACAGGTTCATTAAGCATGGCAGAGACTTAACCTATGCCAAAACAGATATTTTTAAACTCCATGTTAAAAAGAAACAAATATGTCAATAAGTACATACCAATATTTGTATACATGTTTACGAAAACAGAATAAATAACATAAAAGCCCTTTTAACTTTCATCTGGACTTTTTGTGAAAAAGTGAAAAAAAATGAACGTCTGATTTATGGGTTTGATGATTTGATATGGTAGTTATAGAGAGAAGAGTAATATAACTTTAGAGAGAGAGAGGTTACAATATATTTGTATAACTGCTGTGAAGAATATCAGAAGCCCCTTCTTTACATCTTTTTTTATTTTTCCCCATTTTCCTTAAACTTTTTTTCTTTTCTTGCACCATTTGCTTTTTCTTTGATTTCTTTCTTTTTCTCCCCTCCTACTTTTTTATCAGTCTGTGTTGGTTTTTATCTTCTTGATTAAAAGTTCCATGTATGTATGTATGTATGTATGTATGTATGTATGTACACACACACGTGCATCTATGAATACATTTATTTTTAGTCATTTGGTTCCAGGCAAGCTTATATTTTTGGTTAGGTTTCAGTGTTTCTTACTTTCAATCATATGTAAATGCTCTTTTCTAAAATCTCCTCAGTGCAATATTCCTTTCAATATTTTTCACGGTTAGGAAAACATACACGATTGCAACCTCAAAAATATAAATAAAGCTAATAAACTTAGCCAAGGAAGAAAACAAAGTTTTCAAAAACCAGCAGCCAAACAAAAGCAAAAAGAACTCAAAGTCCACCAGCAAAAAAGCAAACATTAACTTATTTTCTGCTCCTTGGATTTTTTATAGTGTAAACAATGATCTCATTCCCATAAAATCTAAATGTATTGGTCAGGAGTTATGTGAGCCTAGGTAGGATATAAGCCAATCAGAATATCTTGAGGAAAGTGGCAACCAATCAGACCAATGAACACATGGAAATTTCTCTTTGATCTCCTAAACATGGCCATCAACGCAGCCTGTACAATGAGTCTCGCACACATATACTTCTTTATGTACCTGTGCAGCCTCTCACTTTCTTTTCACCCCACCTTATTTTACATATTTTCATCTGAAGCATTTGAAGTTATTGGTTAAGAATTAAACATTGTACAGCCCTGCCCGCCAAAGCAGGGCATGTATTAGTTTTGATTGTTTGGTGCAGACATCTACCTTTTGTTGAATTAATATTTGTTAATTGTGATAGGGAAATGGCTTTTGATTGTGTGGTTGAGATCAGCCAGTGTTTTGGACGCATTACCACCTGGCTGAACATAGCTGCCAAGTTCAAAAACATGGATTATCAGTATGACCCCTTGTGTCCAGATACTTTGAGGTCTCCAAAATCACAAAACACTTTGGACCTGTCTGGCCATTTGGTAAGTCTTGCTTTTGGAAATGATTACCCAAGACAGATCAAGTTCACCTTACCTGATACAAGGTACTGATTTGGTAATGTTATATATGTTTTTGAAATTATACAGACTAATGACATCATCATTCAGCGTAGCAAGCTCCAGGCAGCCAATAAAGTCAGGCAAGTCCAAGCTTGGAGGGAGCTTTAAAAAGAAAAACACACAGTTCAGATCAATCTCATAAGCTTCAAAGGCTTATTCTTTATTTTAGTGGTCAAAAGCATATTTTGCAATATAATAATAATAATAATAATAATAATAATAATAATAATAATAATAATAATAATAATAATAATAATAATAAAGTTGGAAGGGGCCTTGGAGGTCATTGAGTCCAACCCCCTGCTCAGGCAGGAAACCCTACACCATTTTTGATAAATGGCTGTCCAGTCTCTTCTTAAAAACTTCCAGTGTTAGAGCATTCATCGCTTCTGGAGGCAGGTTGTTCCACTGGTTAATTGTTCTAACTGTCAGGAAGTTTCTCCTTAGTTCTAGGTTGCTTCTCTCCTTCATTAGTTTCCATCCGTTGCTTCTTGTCCTGCCTTCAGGCGCTTTGGAGAATAGCTTGACTCCCTCTTCTTTGTGGCAGCCCCTGAGATATTGGAACACTACTATCATGTCCCCCCTCGTCCTTCTCTTCTTCTGCCTGTTGAATTATTTAAACTCAATCCATTCATATCTAGAGTAAACTGTTAAGGCCTATGGTTCTTGCTATCAGTTACTAATCATTTCCTCATTATTTGCAACACTGATTTAGTGCTCTCTCAACTCTATCTGAGACACACCTTTTGTGTGTACCTGCAGTATATAACTATCACACACACACACACACACACACACTTTTATCCCCCTTCTTACATCCCTGAGCATTTTGCAATGCATCAAGTTGAAGTTTTTCTTCTGGAATCCACTGGGCTCTTATCAACCTTGAACAATTACCTTACACTCTAGAATTGGAAATTATTATTGTATTATAAATATTAGTATTATATCCCACCTTTCCTGATCAGATTCAAAGCAGAATAAATGGGGGATTTTCCTTGTTTTTACTTAAGACAAAAATATGATGAGATTGAAAGACAAAGATTACCCCCTTTCATCCAGTGAGGTCTATATTTGGTCCAAGGCTAAAATCTTAATCACCACTCTGGCTTCAATCTTGGGGATTACAGGTAGTCCTTGACTTATGACTACAGTTGGGACCAGAATTTCCGTTGCTAAGCAAAATGGTTGTGCCCAATTTTAAAGTAAAATCACTGCAGTTGTGAAGCAAATCATGCAGTCATTAAGCGAATTCGACTTCCCTCATTGACTTTGCTTGTTGGAAGCTGATTGGGAAGGTCACAAATGGCGATCACATGACACTGGGACATGGCAACTATTGTAAATATATGCTGGTTGCCAAGTGCCTGAATTTTGATTACATGACCATGGGGATGCTGCGACGGTTGTAAGTGTGAGGACCATTCATAAGTCACTTTTCCAGTGCTGTTATAACTTTGAATGATCACTAAATAAATGATTATAGATCAAGGATGGCCTGTAGTAGGCCACTTGCACAGTGAATTAAATCTAGAGACTTGCTTTTTCCTTTCACTTTCAGTATATGCTGCTATCATGAACAACAGAAGATTTTGTCCAGATTGTTAGCATATGGCATGGATGCAGTAAGACTCTTCTTTATCTCAGTAAAAAACATGTAAAGGGGTTACACAAATCTGTTGCTAAACTGAAATCAGTGCTAAACTGTTTTTTCATGCCATCCATTGGGAAATGTTAGCATTAAATATTTCTCTTTTAAAGCTGCCTCATTTTTTGCAAGAGGTTTCATGATGTAGGTTTCACCTTTAATTCAACCTTGAAAAAGACTGAATATACCCAGAGACAATGTGCAGAACCATTGTTGTTCTTACCTTAAAATCTGGAGGCACTCCTCCCACATAGAAAACAGTATTTTTAGCATCCAGATCCAATAAAGAAGCATCACCTGGAGCCTCTCCTTTATTGATAAACTTTTCCTCAGCTGTGCTGGTAAGGCTAGGGATTGTCAAAAACACTTTGCCATGCTTGCCAATCCTATTGAAGAACAGTAGAGTCAAAAATGGAACTCTTGCAATTGCTTGATTGAATGATTAACAATTTCTGCATCTATGTTTTTCAGGAGAGAGTCAACAGTGGAGAATAATTTCTTTTCCATGAAACTTTGCCTGACATTATTAGTATCCTAATGATGAACTCTTTCTATGATTTTGATAGATTAAATCTCAAGATTATTTGGGATACGGTCTGGAATACCTTGATGGAGAATAATGGAAGAATGCTTCCATTGCTGATTTTATTTATCTATCATGGATTTGTATAACCTTCCTTTTAGAACTTTTTGGCATATATAGTGATCATTTAAAAATGGTAGGGGTTTTAAAGAAAAATATTCTTTTTCCTTTCTTTTCTTTAAACAATCAACATGGATAATTAAGCAGCAATGATAATTCAGCAGCGAATACTGATTACAATAAGGAAAGATAGCTATTTTGCCAGATTGTTAATAAGTACAATTAACACTATTAGTAATCTCCCCAAGTGTCTACATTGTCCTGAGTTTTTCTAACCTAATCATCTAAGGCAGGGGTGTCAAATCGGTGGTCCGCGGGCCAGATGTGTCACATGCAAGCCATACCCACCCTGGCTCCACAAAGGCAAAAAACGTCATGATACATCACAATACATCACATGACGCAATCGAATTTGACACCTGTGATCTATACATAATAAAAGTAGCAGATGTAATCACATTACCTCTCTATTTTAACCAGATTGAAATGTGTAGGCCAAGAGCTGATTGGCTTGGAATCTAGAGGTATATTCACATCACCAGCACCCAAATTATAAACGTAGACCAGGTTCCCATTCTTAATTGCAAGACCCACATAATTTTTTGTCTAGAGAAAGAATGAACAAAACATACATGTGAAAGTTACAAGAGAAATAAAAAGCAAATTAGCTTAGCATGGTTCTGCCTCGCATTGGAAAACTTAGAGAATACAAGGACACCCTGGTTTGCAGATTTGTAATCTTTCTGAGAAATGGTTAACATAGCACCTTGAAAAGTATGATCTAGTGGAGAGAAAGAGACGCTGAACTCAGAAAAGCCTTGACAAAAATATATTGATCTAATCAAGTTACATATCTCAGTGTCAGAGAGATTTATTGTAAAAGCCAGCTTTTAGCAGCCAGGCACTGCACTTATTTTTTCATTTGGGGTAAAGGGCCAAAAATGGCAGGAAAGGGATAAAATGGGCAGGAAAGGGATAAAAAGATGGACCCAAGATTTTTCCCTATGAATTTGTGGAAAATATGTTTTTTTTCTTTTACTTCTAATCTATATTAAAATCTACCTGAAAGTTTCTACTACCATTTTCATACATTTTCAAGAGTTGTTATTAAAGGGAACCTGAGAGGGTCACATAAATAGTGTTCTGAAGCTCACAGATTCTAAGGCTTCAAAGTGGAATCCTTGGTGCTCTTTGAGTTTGATTTTATTTTCTGCAGACATTTCATTAGATAACCTCTTCACTGCTAGAAAGAGTGAGGTTTGCCCTGTTAGAGCTTGCCCTGTTAGTGTTGGTGGGGGTATGGTTTTCTTCTTGATAGCTCCTTCATTAGGCTGTTGATTACTGTTTGGTTTTTTTTAAATCTGAATTGATAGTTCCTTGATTAAGTTATTCTTTACTGCTCAATTGTTTCTCTAGTGATACTCCTAGTGTTACTCCCACATAAACCACATTTATACAGCATCGAAAAGAGACAATAAAAAAGCTAAAAAGGGAACAAAAATGAACATCCAGACAACACAAGAATTAACACCAATTAAACAATATTCTAATCAAGGAGAAAACCACATATCCACCAATACCGATAGGGAAAGGTACTATGTATAAACAGAGAGCAAACCCCACTCCTTCTAGTATTGAAGGTGTTATCTGCTCTGATAATGAAATGTCTTCAGGAAAACAACCAAGCTCAGATGTCAGAACTGCCTTTTTTAAAATTTGACTTGGCCCCTATGAATGCTAGTGAAAAAATATATGAAGATGGTCATAATGCTGGAGAATAAAGATATTCATTTTAGAGAGGAAGATAATGACAAATAAAACCATAAAGGGTAAAGGTATTTCTATAAAAACAAAGATGAAAGAGTGGGGTCCCCCCCAAAGTTAATATATGAATCTTTTGATTATGGAACTGGAGGCTACTTAACCAAAGAGACCAATATAGATTGATCCTTGAGATGATGAGCAAGCAGTAACTAGCATATTTTGGCCATTAGATATAAGCAGGTGGTAGACTAAAAATGACTACCATATAAACTTGTGGATAAGCCAAAACTGTTAGGTCCCAAAATACATCTGAAAAGTTGGGTTTGGCTTATCTGTGGAATGGGTTTATATGCAAGCATATATAAGCCCATCTGCAGATAAGCCAACCCTCAAATTTTTAACCAAATTACCCACGGACAAGCCAATTGTGGAAATTAAAACAAAGGAAATTTTTCAGGGTCAGCTTACCTGTGGATGGTATATTGTTTGTGGCAATTTGTTAAAAATTCAAGGGTTGGCTTATCCATGGACTGACTTACCTACAAGTATATAGAATGTTTGGCAAGACTGAGGGAATTAGAAGAAATAGATGAAAACAGATAAAGTGGATGGACAGGATTAAAAAGCCACAGATTATTGTTGAGAACAGACCGGTGGAAATTTTTTAAATAAAATTCTGAGGGACTGGGTCTGACTCAGTGGCATCTTTTTTCATTTTAATAATAATAATAAAAAAGCCCCAGTGTAACATATGTGAAATCACCATACATCTAGCAGGTTAACATACGTTTTTGCTTCCTAAATACAGAACAAACTGATCTTGAGGCTTTTTTCTCTGTGGATTTTTTTCAGAAAACTTCATGTACAAAGTTAAAGATGTGAAAGCCTTTAAGTCTTCTACATTCATTTGAGGATTGACTTCAACTGCTGAGCGACCTTCAAATGTCATTGAGACTTGAACCTGTAAGTTAAAATATGTAAGTGAAAGGTTAGACGTATCTTGGAAGACATCCTTTGGGAAGAAATGATACTTTTATTTTAATGAGCTATTTAATTGGTGGAATGTTAACATTATTTGTAAAGATTAATAAATTATGAGTTGTGTTAAAATATAACATACATTCAATGAGTTAGATTCAGAGTTGCCCAGGATAGTATTCTATTGATACAATTGTCCTGTGGATAAAATAATACCTTGTTTTGTATACATATCGAGAACTCAGGTTCATTACTGAAAAATGTTAATGAAACTGAGGCCACTTTCATGAATAAAATATCCATTTATTTACTGGTATTCATTTATATTTATAGCAAGCAAAATCCTCTTGTGATTGTCTGGAACCTCATATGGGATATTTATATTCTTAAATACTTAAATACTAAAATAAACTATGATAATTTTCCATGTGCAGATTTAAAATGATCTTTTAAAAGAATGGTCAAATATGGAAGGTTGATTTGTACATTATTTGTGTTGGGCTTCAGGACTTCTATAACAGAAGTATATCAACTATTCTACCACTTAGACTAGAATAGTAACTTCATAGTTAATCTTTTGCTCTAATGCCCATTGGCAATATATGATTTAACATCAAAGCTGAAACTAAAAGAGATTCAGAGAAGGCATTAGGCTTCTTGCTATAAGTACTGTATCAAAGTCTCTGACTCAGTGTTCAGAAGGGCCACACTGCAATAAATCTCTCTCTAGGAACTCTAGCTATGTTGGAAACACCTCTATGGAAACTCAAGGGCTTGGCTTGACTACACATAATTCTATAACACAGCCTTACTAATTAAGGAGATCAACTTCACAATCTGCACATCCCAAGGTTTAAATCAGTGGTTCTCAACCTTTTTAATGCCGCGACCCCAACCGGTCGTAAGTCGAGGACTAAACCGGTCGTAAGTCGAGGACTAAACCGGCCGTAAGTCGAGGACTAAACTGGCCGTAAGTCGAGGACTAAACTGGTCGTAAGTCAAGGACTAAACCGGTCGTAAGTCAAGGACTAAACCGGTCGTAAGTCGAGGACTACCCAACCAGTCGTAAGTCGAGGACTTTCCCTGCCCGGGAGCGCCGCGCATGCGTGGTTCCGCCCCCTGCGCCGGCCAAGGCGTAGCTGGCAAGCGGCAGAGACGGAGCAGGCCGACCACCAGCTGGCCCAGCTCAAGGGAGGTAAGGCACCCGCCGGAAAAGGGGAAAAAAATGGCGGACAGCCTTGCTTGGCGACCCCCGTGAAATGGTTGATCGACCCCAAATGGGGTCGCGACCCATAGGTTGAGAATCGCTGGTTTAAATCCTCCATTTCTTTCTCACTCCCTTCTCATGTAATGGACTGCTTGCAGCCCATTTCTCTTGCTGAGCAGCTGATGGCACTTGTCTTGTCCGCTTCCAGGCTCCTTGTTTCCCCTCTTGCTGGTTCCAGTCCTCCCAGTTTCTCTTGCAGCATCTTTACCTTGTTAGCCACACTCCTGGTCTGTGCAATGAGTTCTCGGACCCTCTGGATGCTGGCTGACACATTGTTTGCAGCCCTTTTCTCTTCTACTATACGCAGCTTATCTAGAAGCTGTGGAACAAGTTCTGTGAGACTCCTCACTGTTATTCAAAACAAAACAAGACAGCTGCTTGGTTTTGGTATTACGGGCTAAGAGATTATGATAATTAATAACAATGGCACAGTTGTTAATTAGCAAATAACACAGAGAAGACAAGGACTTGCATCAAAGAAGATCAGTGTGGATCAATCTCTTTATTTTTTATGATAGTACATTTTTAGAAAGATAGGAGTTAGTGGATTGTTTAATTAAATTGGGGAAAAAGTTCATATGATAGTGCATGGAACCTTTGTTTTCAAATAACTTACAATTCTAGCCTATTAAATGTTTGCTTTAAGAACATCCCTTTTTAAATGTCAAGATCCCCAGTAAAAGACAAATAGCTCTTGATTTCCCTGGAAGTTAACCAACCATGCATAGCCCACCCACTGGATTGTTTAAGGGATGCATACACACTAATTCCTCAGCAATGGAGGAATCTGCTGGCACAGATACATACATATGATTTTTCTACTTTATGTACAGCCGTACTAAAGTAACTACTTTAACCACAACCCATGTTATATCTTAGAAATCCAGTTCAAATGTTATCACTTTTCCCAGTATAATTAGGTGTATACAGAACAATTTCCAATGTTAGTTACTTGTGGAGTAGCTGAATTAGATTAACTTCAGTCAACTGTATTTTGAAGTACCGAAGAAACAAAGTTTTATTAAATGCCGTCTCTTTTTTAAAATGTAAAATTCAAGGCAGTTAAGGAAATCTAAGATTGGTCAGAGATAAAACACTAAGTACTTTTATAAAGGACTGTAAACCTTTTGTGGCTATTTTGTAGGAAAATGGGAAAAAAGTGAAATGGCGATTAATGGATTTGATGATTGAAAAGGGTCTGAATGGACTATTGTAATGTTAAAGAGGGAGGAGGGATAATGACTGATTTATGAGTTATATTTATTTTTATTATATATGGGATAAACATAGGGGATCTCAGCTCAAACCATTATAATTGTTGGAATTCATTGTTGGAATGTATTTCTATTCAACAACTACAGTAGTATTCAGCCAGTAGATGGCAGTATTTACAAGTTTGGATCTATGGTATATGCCAGTGATGGCGAACCTTTTAGAGACCGAGTGCCCAAACTGCAACCCAAAACCCACTTATTTATTGCCGGGTGCCAGGTGGGCATGGCCCACTGGGTGGGTGTGGCTGTGGTGGTCATGGCAGACTGGGTAGGTGTGGCCAAGGTGGGCGTGGTCACCTCAATGTTGCTCGTGGGGAGGGATGCCTGTGGGGGCCGGGCAGGGTTGGGGGAGATCCAGGGGGTCTCTGGCAGGTGGGGCGGTGGGCAGGAGGCTCGTCCTGTGGGGTGAGGCAAGGCAAGGCAAGGCAGGGCGGGGATGCCATTGCTGCAGGGCAAGGTGGGCAGGGGCCGGGGTGGCTGCTGCCTGACACCCTCGGCCCCTGCACACAGAGGCCAGCAAGCTCAGGGGGCCAACGGTGTCTATCAGCAGCCACAGCCTGCCGGCCCTTTGACCGGCGCACTGTGGGGCTCCGCAGCCTGCTGCCAGCAGTTCATAGAAGCTGCTTCTGAGCTGGCCGGCCGGCCGACAGCTAAGGAGGCAATGCAGTGGGTTGTGCCCGGGAAAAGGAGAGCATGCGAGGCCAGGAGGATGGGACAGGGGGGAGGGCAATCAGCCATGCTGGGATGCATCCGGCCATGTGGGACTTTGGCTAGTTAGCGGGCAGCTGGTTGAAGAGGGACGGTTGCCATCTCCGGAGCATGGTGCGCGTGCCCATAGAGAGGGCTCTGAGTGCCGCCTCTGGCACGCGTGCCATAGGTTTGCCACCATTGGTATATGCTCTTTTGTTCTAAGTAGAGTTTCCTGTTTCCTGTTACAGTTATGTAGTTGAGCAGTAAGGCACATGGTGACTGTACTCTTTGTTTGCTCTCTGGTGCTTTATCTAAAACAGAATTTCTAATAATAATAAGGAATGGGACCCTCTAACTCAGAGGCTGAATCTGATCTGCCAAGCCAGAGCATCTGTACTGCGCAGTCTTGAGCAAAGCTAATCACAGTCCCTGGATTGTTACTGACCACAGTCCTTGAACAATAATTCCTGATGAATTGGGAGAATGGTTTGACATGAGACCTACATTTACCTTAACGACATTACCATGTTACTCTCTTTCTTTGACAACTATTCTTGCAATTCAATTTTACACAATCCAAAATCAGTATCTTTGAAACAGAAAGCAGATGCTGTACATTTCAAGAAATGTTTCAATTACATTTCCCTTTGCAGTACCTGTATCCCTAGTTGTGACTGTGGCACGTTCATAAGCTGCTCTTTCAGGTTTAAAGTTGCGCAGATCTTTTGACCATTTTGTCACATTCTCAGTCATTGGATCTGTGGTGGAGGTTATGGTTGCAGCTGTTTCTTTAGCTTGAGTAGCAATAGCTTGCAACTGCTCAAACTGCTTTGTGTGATCTGTAAACAAAAAGCTCTGTGATGAGGAAATAATGATCATGGTTTTTTTTAATAAAACCAGGTGACTTCCAATCCAAGTGCATTCATTAGTGCCTTTCTTCACTAAATAAACACTAAACACTTCTATTCTACTAAATATATAAATAGTTTATTTACAATGAATTGTAGGAAACTGGTTTACCATAATATAGATTTTTGGAAGAATTAATATGTGTCACTGGATGCATATAGCAGGCACGAGTGATGGTAAATCTATTTATTGTATACTTTGTAGAACTTTTTCAACTAGTTATTTAAATGTAATAAATAGCTATTAATCCTAGGTGAGTACTTTAATAGTAATTATCAAGAAGATGGATATACAGTATATATTAGGGTGGTATGCTTTTCAAAACTGGCTGGAAACTTCTGTGACAGTGCCTTGCAAACAACAACCCATGTTCTGTATTGTATTGTCAGTTCTACAGGGTCATTTGCCCCCAGTTGATTATTCTTTTTTGTCTAAATTTCTCGGGCACTGATAATTTTTATTTGCATTATTTGTTAGACAATCAGGATAAATCTATCTCTCCAAAGTTAGCAAAATTCTGCTATATTATGTAAAGTTTTGCTGACAAATGGTTGCCAGCCGTCATTAATGTTAGGGATTAACATTGCTTTACTGAATGTATTTTTATTGGTCAATGACTGAAATAAATTTTCTGACAATCTGTGTGATTAAGAACTTACACGAATAAAATCTCTCTGTTCATTAAAGTGGCCCGTGTTTTTTTTCTGGTTTCCCCATCAACCTGAAAAAAATAATGTCGCTATTTTAAGGAATCAATTAATTATAGCTGATGTGATTTTTAAAGCAATAATGGCTTTTATTTTCAGGCTTCTGTGGAAAGCTGAAATAAATTGAGCTGCTTTAATGAATAATAGAGAGGTACTATTCTCCAACACATGTGAAATCTGAAGTTCTTTTAAACCACCTTCAAAGCACAACCAAATAGTCAATTCAAGTGTTGATGATTATCAGCCAAGTAAGATTTGATTTACTTTCTATCTCAAAATCACTTAAGAGGATCCCTTGCATAGATTTATTCTTTAATCAGAATCATTTGATTACAATTTTGTACAGTTTATTTCCTGACCTTGCTCTGATGTATGCATTTTTTTGAGGACTTTCATGAAACGGCCTTTAACATCATTCTTCTTGTCAAGGGTTTCATTAATCTCTCTGCCTGTTTCTTCAACATTAAAGACATCTGTAAAGTAGAAGAAACAAAATATAAGAAAGCTTTCAGCTATGAGAGGTAAAGGCATTTATCTAATAATAATAATAATAATAATAATAATAATAATAATAATAATAATAATAATAATACATCAGAAAGACATCACTCTAAAGGATTCTAATCACCACATTATAACACTGGGACTTATTTGATGGTCTATACTAAGTTTTAGATAATACAATTTTTTTGGTGACCTCCTCTGAAAAAGAATTCTTGGCTCTCCGTTAAACAATCTGAAATGTTTTTCAAAATCCTGTTTTAAAAATGACAGTGTAGTTTGCAAATGTGAAAGCATTTGATTGTGTTTCCAGCAAGCACCATTGCTTTCTACTGCTGCAGAAGTACTATAGACACACTGTAAATCTTTCATTTGGTTTATATTTCTTAGTGTTATTTATAGAGAATAAAGAGATGTAACTTGGATAAAATAATGTATGTTTATTAGAACAGTCTTTGTTGGGCTTGATATATTCCAGATTTTAAAATTGCAGAACCCGCTGTAGGGGATCATGATTAAATTATTTATGTCAACATTTTTCTTCTTTGGGATGCTCTCTGTTACAAAGCTTTTCTAGTGTAAGAGAGACGTATGAATCAAGAGAAAGGATTATATTTACTAGCATTGGCTTTTCCTTGCTGTTTTTTGGCTTCACCAAGAAGCATTGTGCTTTTGTCTTTGTGGAAGGTTATCTGAGTGTCAATTCCAACAGCAGCCTATAATTTTATATGACGAGAGAGAGAGAGAGAGAGAGAGAGAGAGAGAGAGAGAGAGAGAGAGAGAGAGAGGGAGAAAGAGAGAGAGAACATTAGACATCCCAAAAGTAAACATTTGGAGTTTCCAGATGGGGCTACTATTATATAATAAACCTGTCCCAGTCATAGAATTTATAGGAAATTCAGATAAAGATTTTCATTTATAATCCTCTGTTGTTCTATTTCCTTTTTCTACTTTTATCTCATCCATAAATAATTTTTTGAGAAAAAGATGGAGCAGCTGCACCATGTCTATTGATTGGTAGTATTAAAAGATGTCTGTCTGGAAGCACAATTAGTTACATCTTGTATTTATGAGGCAATCACTTTCATCCAGTGGATGGGATGAAAGATACTGCTTGAGTGTTTGCAATGGATTTCATTTTGGCATTAAGGAAAGGGCTAATGAATCTTGCTCACAACATCACAGTGCTGGATTTGCCTTTCCACAAATGGAAAATGCATTCTGTTTGAAGAAAGAGTCGAAATACAGTAGCTTTCTACTAGATTACTGCCTTATTCTGCAGTCCTGAGTGCTTCCTTCCATTCTATTGTAAAAAGTACTTTAATCCTCCAGATTTTGTCCTTGAGGAGAAAGGAGGCAGCAGAAAGAAAATTGGTAACGCTTAGTGATAAATGCATCCCTATTCTAGCAAAAAAAAAAAAAGAAAAAAGAAAAAGAAAAAAAAGAAAAAAGAAAAAGAAAAAAAAGAAAAAAGAAAAGAAAAGGAAAAAAAAAAAAAAGCTTTGACCAGATTTCTATTCATGAAAGATCTGGCTCCAAGCCAAAACAATTACTAATCTATGCAGCAATTATGCAATGTTTGTAAGAGCTTAGAAATTGACATAAAATTACATTTTATGGGTGTTTTTGCTACATACAGGGTACATGATTTTTGACTGATTGATTAAAACATTTATATAGCTGCCAATCTTATATCAAACTCTGGGAGGTTCACAATCTATTAATGATATGTACTCCTTAGAGGAATTTTATTTACTGTTGGGCATCATAACATAACCCACTTACTTTCTAGTTATACTGTATGTTTGCAGACCCTAGGCACACAACCGGGACTTAGAGAAATGCTTTTTGTTCAAGCTCCATTAAGAACAGAGAAACACCCTCTCCGCCCCCCCCCCCCAAATCTTCAGGAAACCCAGAAGCAAGATATGAAGCATCAGCTAATGCCTCCTAATAGACAATCATTGACCTCCTGGAGATTGCATTACTTCAGCATAGCAAAGAACCTAGCAGATGTGTAGCATTGTGCTTGCACAGAGTCAAGATTGGTTTGATTTGCCTCATAAATATGGATGCAGCCAAACAAAGCAATATGGCTTCTTCATATTTCAATGGTTAGACACAGGGTATTCCTTTACATTATGAAAGTGCTCAAGGAGGCACTTTGCTCCTATTTCCATAAAAGCAAAGCGCCCCTTTCAAGATAGCATGGCCCTCGCTCATATTGAAATAAAAGCATTATGCATCGTAGCATTCTTATTTTTGCAGTTTTGCTGAACTGGATGCTATCTGGATGTGTTGAAGTTCAGTCCATCAAATTCCTACAAATTTCTGTTCCTGAAGATGAGATTGTAATGGCATAACTGCAGATAGATATGGGGATTTTCATAGGATACAGATTTTACTTGATCTCAAGGACACAGTCCAGATACCTAATACTATTACTTACATCACTGACTCGTTCTGTAGTATTTAATGCCAAAGCAGACATTTGATTGGCTTCATTAATATAATTAATTATATTTTCATGTACATTGGAAGCATTTAGTGCTTTCTGTACTAATCCGTTTGTGTCAATACCATGAAAAGTTCTGTAACAGAGAAAAGAGAAAGGGAAGGGGAGGGAATAAAAGGCATCACATATTGTTCAAGATCATTATATATCTGCCAGTACTGCCCTTGGAAGCTATTGTTATCCTTATTATACCACTGTGATGCTCATCTAGGAGGCAACCAGCCTTGATTGATCTAGACAGCTAAACAGGGTTGGTCCCGATTACTGTAATGCTTGAATGGAGGACCATCAGCACGTCATGGCTATAAGCTAGGATGAGAAGCCAACAAACATTCTGGAAGAAGGCAAGGGCAAACCACTTCCATATCATGCCTAAAGAACTGTATGCAAACCACCAGGAGTCACACTTGACTCGAAGACAACCTTATAGTAGTTTTATTTATCAATATATAATTTTTCTCTATGTCTATATATCTAACTCTCCCTTGCTGGCATGATCCATCATGACATGCAAGATCTTCTCCAGGGTAGTTCATCAGTCAATCAGCATCCCCACTCAACTATTCTGCAATAAAGGACCTCAACACTATGTACCCACAATTTAAATTCAGTCATATTCTGAGAACTGGCATGACATAATGTTGATACACATAAATTGTGAGATAAAGAATGCTTTGTTTAGGTTTTACTTTAGTCCTTAATTTACTACTATAGGTAGTCTTGAGAAAGATAATCATTCAGTGACACACTAACCGGGTTACAGGAATAATAAAAGACTTTACATGGTTTCCTAAAGCACCATATCAGGGACAACATAGCATTTATATTTTAATGTTAAATGCTGTTGATATGAAATTTGCTTCATAATTCTCACACCCTTTAATAATGGTTGGTATTATTAAGTCAATGTGCAGCATTTTAAGACTCACTGATTTCAATAGAACAGTTAATCACACACTTAATTCTGTCTCTCTGAGATTAGTGGGACTTTAGCGAGATTTCCAATTATTCAGATTGTGCCAATTTATTGCAGAAAGAGAGTTTGGCCTAATACACTTGAAAGTTACCTCTCCAGTTTATCTGCAAGGTCTTGAAGGCCCTGTGCATATTTCATGGCTTTTTCAACCAAATCTTCATCAAACCTTGAGTAGTTGGCCTGTTTGTTCTGTAGCTGCACTTTAGCGCCATCTATTTCTGCATAAAACCTGGATGCATTCTGTCCAAACAAGAAGAGTGAAGAAAAAGTAGCTATGATTTTTCTATAAATTGTAAAAATTAGGTAGATAATGATAAAGTGATAAATGGATTCTCATTGGGATGACAGAGTGTATCCTTTCAAAATTGGGGATCATTTAACGGAACACTTTTCTATAGTGAAAAACTTAACTGCAGCAAAGAATACAGCTAGAATAAAAAACTTATTTGTGATAGGCCTTTATTTTCTTCATTGTTCATTAAGAAAGAGTTGAATAAAGGAAACATTCAGTTATGTAACTTCAACTTCAGCCCAAAATATATAACCCAGACACAAGTTGAATGAGTTTATTTATTTATTTATTTATTTATTTATAGAGATGCCCTACTCAACCCACTCTGGGTGGCATACAATAAAAACAGCATTCAAAGCACCCAATAAAACAGCAAAACCATATACCAGGGGTCTTCCAACTTGGTCCTCTTATGACTTGAGGACTTCAACTCCCAGAATTCCTCAGCCAGGCACGCTGGCTGAGGAATTTTGGGAGTTGAAGTCCACAAGTCATAAAAGGGCCAAGTTTGAAGAGCCCTGCCATATACTGTAAAAATGAGAGAAACTAAGAGGAACAAGGCATGGTAATGAAAATTCATGTTAAAAGTTATTCTTTCTTTCAGGGGCTGGAGAAAGAGCCAGATACTTTTCTTACCTGAACACTGGGTAATTCCTCTCCAGGCTCTCCTTATCAATTCCTCTCCATTATCTATTCTATCTTCTGCTAACCATCTCTTTACCCAGCTGCTCTTACTCCTGTTAATCCTAGCTAGATGGTTCAGAAGACACACTTTCTATTACAGCATTTAAGCCTGTACCTAGCAGTCTTTCTTTGTCAGTAACTATTGATTAACCCTGAACTGATTACTATGTTTACTTGTGGCTATCCGAACTTCAGCCTGGTAACCATGATCGAGAATCACAATATAGATTTCTCTCTGCCATTGCTTCCAACTGGATGAATGACGCTATGGATTCAGGCAATCACTCCTGATTTTGTTGTGGACTCTCCCCTTTGCTGTCACTCTTTCTATGTAAGCATAGGCAGTCCCTTAATTTAACCACCATTCATTCAGCAACCATTTGAAGTTACAAAGGCACTGAAAAAAGTGACCTATGACTGGTCCTCACACTTCCCCACAGTCGCAGGAGCAAAATTCAGGCACTTGGCAACTAGCATCTAATTAGGATGGCTGCAGTGTCCTGAGGTTATCTGATTGCTATTTGTGATTTCCCAGCCAAGATCTGGTAACAAAGTCAATGGGGGAAAAGCTGGATTTACTGAATGACTGTGTGATTTACTTAACCACAGCAATTTGCTTAATAAACATGGCAAAAAAGTTTGTAAAATCAGGCACTACTCACTTAAAAACCATCTTGCTTAGCAACAGACAGACACTTCTTTAATCCACTGGAAGATGAGAAAGTATAACTCACTCAGACCTCTAAGATTCTGTTACAATAGTTAATCTCAATAAAGCCTTTTTTCCTTCCTTCCTTCCTTCCTTCCTTCCTTCCTTCCTTCCTTCCTTCCTTCCTCCTTTTCCTTCTTTCTTTCTTTCTTTCTTTCTTTCTTTCTTTCTTTCTTTCTTTCTTTCTTTCTTTCTTTCTTTCTTTCTCTCTCTCTCTCTCTCTCTCTCTCCCTCCTTCCCTCCCTCCCTCCCTCCCTCTTCCTCTCTCTCTTTTTCTTTCTCTTTCTCAACCATTCTATGGAATTAGTTTCGTGGTCTTGTCTACCCAGTGGGGCTAAACCTATCTTCTTGAACTTCCCATTCAAATGTGACCAGTAAAATAAATTGCATTTATAATGAAGTTCTTTATACTACTTCAGGAAGGACCTACTCCTAATCTGGTGTGTATGGGATGCAATCTGAACAGTGGTTAAGTGCTCATTGTGTATCACCTCAACCCTGTTTTTCTTAAAACCTGGTTATTTTAAATCATAGTATCTGCTAGGTCTTGCTGAAGTTGATGCTAGTGTAATACTGCATTCTGAAGATTGTGTTAAAAGCTAAAGATGTAAACTCTGTGGACTTGGTAGACAGTAGATTTGGATGGTTTATTTAAAAAGAAAATCACCTGTATTGCTTCATTCACTTCAAAGATGATTCCATGTGAAACATTTAAAATTTCTGTGGCCATTCCCAGAGTATTGTTGAGAGTGTCAATATCGTCCTCCAATATTTCTTGTTGCTTCTGTAAGAAAAAAGCAATAATTTATTAGATAAGTTGGATATACAGTATTCTAATCACTATTGTATTGTTTTGAGTAATTAATTAGATCTTTTGAATACACAGGAAAATTAAAATATGGTTTACTGATATTTGGAAACAGAGCAAATATAATGTACATTACTAAAACATGAATATTTATTAATAAGAGCCCTGCAGTGCGTTGGATACTGTCTCTAAAAGATGCTTCAGAGGTGCACGGGGAACTGCAAATGTGGTATCAGTCTGCAAACCCTAGTCTGCTATGTGATCCCTGGAAAAGATGCATCTGCTTTAAGAAGTTGCAGACAAAAGCTTAGTACTGAATATGCTCCTCTATGCTCTAAACATCTTTAGTTTACATTGCACAGGTCTTTGAATAATATTCTAATGTTAGAACATTTTGATGGTGAATATTCTGAGATAAATATTGTATGACACTTCTCTATAAAGAGAAGAACTTGCAATATGGAAGGAAGTCCCATCTTTCTTAGTGTTGAGAGAGACAGAATTCAAGGTACTTTTTATCTTTATCACTGTCCCAACACCCTTCCTCCTAGCTCTCCGGAACAGCACAAGTAATTCAAATGGTCTTTTCATTCTTACATGAGAAGAATGCACATAGTACAAGATATACATGTGGATATTCTTTAAAACTGGTTGGAACTTATCCATAAAGTATAAAATCCTGTTGGGATAAGCACATTCCCCAACTGTGGACAAGGAAATGAGCACATTTCCTTTTTGAAGCTCAGTCTATGTGATTATGGCTATTATTCATTTACCTGTTTTTATTGATAAAACCTTTACATAGCCGCCCATCTTATATTGAAGTCTGGATGGCTCCCAGCCTTTAAGTATGGTGCATACACCCAGTATCTGATTTTATTTCTTTAGCTGTACATACATCATAGATCATATAATAAATAAGGTTGTTTTGACAAATTACGGTCAATATTTTACACTGTTAAAAATAATAAAATACAATACTTTTGAAACAATAGACTGCATGGTACCTCATGCACTTGGAGCTTAGCAATGCTTTCGTTATTTGTAGTGGCTGTTTTTCTGATGTCATCAATAACTTGGTGCAAAGCCTCTTGCAAGTCTGTGAGCTTGGTGTTGTGTTCCCCAAGCTGATCCAATATGTCAGGAATCAAATATCTGGTTTCATTATGTTTCTGTTCCCAACTTTCAGCTTTCCTTAATACTAAGAGAAGAGGCGAGTGTTATTGTGCTTAAATTCCTTTTTTCTTAGTCTCTGTAGTACACTTTACAGCGCTTGCTTTTTAATGAACTTATGCACTTCTACACTGCCAGTCTTCAATTCCCAGACTCAAACAATGCTTTTAAACTACTCCATGATTATCCTTACTGCTGCTGACCTCAACTCACACAGAGCAGGGTGTGAGGTAGTTCAACACACCCTCCAGCTGACTGATTTGGAGAGCTCAGAAATAAGCATCCTAAAAGCTTAACAGCCCTTGTTTTTACCTGATGTACTGCCTGCTTTTTAAATAGTCATGTGTGAAGGAGCTGTAAAGCTGCATCTTAAAAGAGAAGCAAACTGCTAGGGTGGTTTGCTGAGGAACCAACAGGGTCAAGAGTTCCCTCCAATGGAAATGCCCACCTGAAAGCTTTAGTATTCATGCTGCAAAACTATTGTTGCAATACTCTGCAGCAAAACCAGAAGTCAGCTGCCTCTTCTGCCTACTGAAATGATGTCCAATCACATGAGGATGGAGCTGAGTTGCAAGTGATGCCAATGCCATGGACAGGAAGGATAGCTTAGAAGGATAAAAGAGTTGAAGAACTCTTGTTGAAGAGTTCAGAAATAAGCCATGAAAATGCTAGAGAACTGCAAACTGTATTTCCAGCTCTTCAGCATGTGATTTAGCACAAAAGTGCTGTGTTATCTGAAGGAAGACTTATGTATCCCTGCCATAAATATTTTTTATTTTGCTTACTGAAGTATCTCTAAATATTCCGATACTGAAATTATCACATAGAACCGTGGTGGCGAACCTATCGCACGCGTGCCACAGGTGGCACGTAGAGCCCTCTCTGTGGGCACGCGCACCGTTGCCCAGTCCTAGGCCTTCAGCTGGGTTTTATAAAACCTTTTCACTTTAGGCCTCTGCCGCCATGTGCAAAAAAGGGGGGGTTCAATCAATCAATCAATTTCAACTTCTCGCGGGGAAAAAAAAGATCTCACAAAGTTGGAATTGATTGATTGAACTTTTTAGTCTCACCCAGTCTGCCGTTACCACCGCAGCCATGCCCACCCGATGGGCCATGCCCACCCGGCACCCGACGATACATAAGTGGGGTTTGGGTTGCAGTTTGGGCACTCGGTCTCTAAAAGGTTCGCCATCACTGACATAGAATGTTCAAGGTAAAGAAACAATGGCAGGATGCTTTTCTGATGAATGGTAGCATCCTAACTGGTTTATACTGTATACAGTTTTAAAGGTTATCACCTTTAAAGCCCTACATATTTTAGGGCCTGAGTATCTCAAGGTCAACTTCTCTAAGTTGAATCTGCCCATCTGATGAGATAAATCAGAGAAGAGTTGCTGAGGGCCCAAATCCACAGAAGAACTCACGGTCTTGAGCTGCTTCAGACTCTTCATCAGCAAGTTGCCTCTGGAAGGTGAACGGTCTGCGAAGTCTGATGTCCTTCAGCATCTCCTCTGCTGCTTTGACCTTCTGAGCAATATCTTCAGGCCTCAAATCATGCTCAACCCCATAGTATTCTGCCTTGCTGCCAATTTCTGTACATAAAGGAGAGGCAGATGATTCAAGAGAATTTTTGTGGTATATTTTACTGATGAAGCTGCTGCTGCCCTTTCTAGTTATGTTCTTTCAAATTATTCACCATTTTGCTACATATCTTTTTTTTCTCTTCGCTTGAACCGGAGCACCACTCTGAGTAGACTAGAGATCCTACACTTTAGGTCATGACTTGGCAAAAACTCACATGTTGGCTGGGGAATTCTGGCAGCTGAAGTGTATACATCTTAAAGTTGCCAAGGTTGATCTAAAGGTCTTGGAAATTTTATTTGTTTGAACACCAAGCAATGCTAACATTCTGGTGGCTCTACTGATGAGAATCTACCATACATAGGAACCCTTCAAAGTGCATTGTGATTATGGTCCTGCTGCTCTTACTTAGCCTTTGTTCCAGTATAAGGAGGAAAAGTCATTTCCAAGTTCCTAAAGTATTGTGACAATGTCCCCATGTGGTTTGTATGGATAACTGACTTTTTTTCAACATAGAAATGTCCCACGAATAAGCTTGTTCCCACATTTCAAAACTAATTGTTCAAGGGTTTTAGAAAGTATCTGGGTATGTTTCTTTATCTCTCTGTGTTAAAGTTAGCTTTCATTCTCAAGGAACACATAACATTGTTCTAAATATGTACTACAAAGAGGAGTGGAAAAAAGTGAAAGCTGCCATACAAATCTGATCTCCTGGTATGGGAAAAAAAATTGACAAATTTTCTTTAGCAGTTGTTTTTTTTGGGGGGGGGGAATTGGGAGGGTATGCATCAAATAATTTGATTAGCAAAGACTATAATCATGAAAACTGAATTTTAATTCTGGTTCTCTTGTTTTATGATAATTTTGGTCAGTTTATAAATGTTCCCATAATTACCTTTCTCCATTGTCAGTTCCACTAATGTACCCTATTGTTCATATGAATTAGGAATGATCCCAGTTTACCTTGAATCTTATCTACAATATTTCCAAGCTCCTGTGCAAGAATAGTAGCACGCTTAATGGTCTCCATTGTTTCCTTCTGCAGCTGCTGACCTTTGCTTGATTCTTGATTTTTCTATGGGAAATCAGATGTTTGGAGCATGAATATCACATTTTATTTTACATTTAAATCTACAGCATGAAAAAAACTTATAACGTAACCAGATATGGCTTCTGACATGAAGATCTATGTAACATTTGATAGTGCTGCAAGAAAAAAAGTCACTGTCTGTCATAAACAGTCTTGAGTCATCCTATGATTTTGCTCCATTTTCTATTTGCTTAAGTTCTAACTGACTCTCATTTAAGGCCACAGTCCTCATTACACTTACCTGAGAGTTGGTCCTCTAGTCTATTGTATAGGTGAGTTTTCTGCCAAATATAATTGTATAAACATTGTTTTGTACATTGTCCCTGGTATCTTGTATCATGGAAATGGACAAATTGAAGTCTTGAGGTTGCCTATATAGAATCCAAACTCTTTTCTGCAGTTGCTGTACCCTCCATTGATCACAGCTGATGGAACATGCAAAAACTATAATGCAAACTCTAAAACAGATGTGCCAACATGGTCTTTTTTTGAAATTATCTGAAATTTCCAATTGGAGCCTGATTTTAAGAGAATTATTTTAAAAATCTATTGGTTTGACAAATCTTTTGTTTTTAGTCTAATGGTCAACATTTTCCAAACAAAAATTTATTAGAAGAGCATAGCCTTCAAAATATCAACATATAGTACAACAAAATACAGCTTTACACATTGTTTTTTAAAACAGCAATAGCAATAGCACTTAGATCACTCCATAGTACTTTACAGCACTCTCTGAGTGGTTTACAAATATCAGCATATTGCCCCCAACAATCGGAATCCTCATTTTACCGACTGTAGAAAGAGGGAAGACTGAGTCAACCTTGAGCCAGTCAGGATCAAACTCTCAACTATGAGCATTCGAACCACGGTGACACCACAGCTTATATAGAAATGAAAATACATTTATTTTCTCATGCAATAGGAACAATTAACACTAAGATTGTTGGAAATGAAAGAAAGTCAAGAGTAGGCAATATATGACATTACGACATTACACTTTTCATGTCTTTCAAAATTTTGCCCACTATATATACAGAAAGATATAGGATCTGTTGAGGAATGTTAAAAAGGAGCCAATCATGCTTACTTGAAAAAAAAAGAACTTTGTTATTTAACCTGTTTTTGCTTAACTTTTGAACTCATGCTTAGTTTAGTTCTAATAAAAATATTGCCTAGCTATTATTTTAATTATTTTGTCATGGACTATACCATTACATTTTATTTTACTAGGACTTATTGTTCAGGTTCATACTGATAGTATTACTGGTTCATGGAATTAGCAGTTACTTTTTTAGCATTGTTAACCTGATCCTGCTCAGGGCAAGAGAAATATAAGAAGGAAATGAACACAATAAGCAAACCTTTTCATCAAGGGCATCAATTTTCCTGAGAAATTCTGTCATTTCATTTACAGCATTATCAACCTGGGTTGTCTGAAGAGCAGAATGATTGTTCTTCTCAGAGAATTTTGCCTGAATAGAACAATGACACAAACATCTTTGTTAAAAATTATCTTCATTCTTTCATGGTACTTACAAACCAATTACCTTAGGAATACCACCACAAGAATGCAGTCATGAAGTTCTGAATGTTAGAATCAGAAGTTTGGAATGGATTTCAGGCATAAGGCAGAAGTTATGAGAGTTATGTTATCATTAACTGATGTTTATTTAGTGCTTTATTGAATTTTAATCGGAAAAAGTCTCTACATGGGGCTTCACATTCCTGTTCTGGTTCTCCTTTTCTTTTTCCACACCACCTATTAATTTGCATATTAATTTACATGCCATACCAGTGAATATTGCAGAGGAGCCTCTGTCACAGGCACTATACAAGGAATCAACAAGCAAAACTTTTTTTTTATTTCTTGCATCTTTCTGTTTATTTTTTTCCTTCTGATTTATATTAGTTTGTATTAGTTTTATCTTCCTTTCTAAAACTATACACAAACGGGCGCACATGCAGAGGCAGAAATAAGCATAAAATCTATTCATGAAACTGATTTGGCACCTATCTTTAGAGATATATATGTTATATTAATTGATGAAACTCTGTTGTGTAGTTCTTTGCTCCTTTAGTCCAGAATCTCTTATCTTTAACTTAGATATGATGGAAAACAATTGCTTTCCCCTTTTAACAGCTGTGGTTTTGATATGTATCAAGTGGCCATAGGCAATCCAGATAATAATATTTACCTCTTTTTCTTTTGACCATGATCTATGGATAAGAACATGGTCTAGCTGTTTAAAATGCAAAACCAGATTTATAGTGAGAATATGACCTATCATCCTGCTCATGCCAATCTTTTAAAACACTTTAGGGAAGTAAATACTGATCCATTTAGAGGAAATTCCATTTATTCCTTGTATTCTTTTTCCTCCATTTTATACTTCCCATTATTTTTTATTTATTTGATTTACTTTGAGCATTGATTTCCCAGTTTATTTCAAGAAATCAAAGATGTTTATGATAAAAATCAATACATTAACATTCCAATTTACACTAGGTTTTATAGAAAGAGAATCAAATCGCAATCGAACTATTTCAACTGGACAACACATCCTAATATTTTAAGTTTTAGTACCAACTTTCAGAAAGCTAATGAGAAAATGAGTTGGACCTTTCATGCAGGAATATTGCAGAATTTCATGTGTCATCAAAATTGCTCAGTGGTACTCTACCTAATTCTGAGGAGTTTCAGGAATTGTTAAGACATAAAAGGTTTCTCCAAAATAATATCAAAATAGGGGGAAGGTTGTATATATGAAAGCAATTCACTGGATATTCTGGTTCTAAAATGTTCAGGGCTTTAAAGGTCAAATAGCAACTAGAAACAGAGAATACGATATAGCTGATTCAAGAAATGGGAGTCATATTTTCTATATACTGTCTCTGCTAGCCAATCTGCTGCAATATTTTTATTTGCTTTTCAAAGACCACTGTATACAGTATAGAGCAGAACAGCAATCTGGATATGATGGAACAAATGCAGTGAGTTGCATTCTAGATGATTTTTAAGGTCCTGTCCACATCCTACATTCTGCTATTCTGTGAGATATACATCACTCTGACCAGATCTTTCCCAGGTATGGGTCTATGTAGCTCAGCCTCAGGTAAACACTGGCATTGCTGGAAAAGGCTCAGAACCTGGGCATCCAAGGTGGAAACCAAATTCAGAAGAATCTTCTCTGCTTTCGAGAGAAATGCCATTCTGCTCAATATAGGATGAATCTTCAAGTAATCATTAGAACACCTGTCTTAGCAAGATTGACTTTCAATGGTTAGTCCACATTAATTCCATCACCATTTTGAAACAATATTCAGAACTATAATATCCCTCTCTGAAGAAGAAAGCAAGGAGACCAAAAAGTGAGTGGTGACCCTAAACCCCAAACTTCAAATGACCTTCTTCAACATTTTCATGTTGTTGTTCAATAATAGTGTAACATAGAACCTGTGGGACAACCACAGGCAAAGAATTGCTTCAAGAAATCACCACAGTTCATATTGTCATGTGAAAAATACACAGAGAGCGATTATGTTAACTACTCTTAATGCCTTTTGTTTGTTTTAATTTAAAAAAAATAGTTGAAAAATTTTCCCCATCTCTTTGTTTTGACCCCATCCATTTTGTAGAGTGCAGCTTCTTCCATGTCACCCATTGAGAGGCTTTCATCCTCAGTCCCCAAAATGTTAATTCCCCCCCATCCCTCCTTGCTTTAGCCACCAGCCAAGGTGTTAAACAAGCATTACAATATTAACACCACTTCTCAGACTAGATCTCCAGGAAGGACAGAAGCTCTGCCCTTTCCTGCCCAGCGTCTTGTCTTCAGCTTCAATCCATTAACATAAAAGAATCTTACAAGCAATGACATTAAAAGTAATCGATAGGCCCAACAGAATCAAAGGAATGCATTCCTCTTGCTTACAGTAATTCCTGGAAAATGCCCTTCATCCAAGTTATTTTAAAAATGACCTCATTTTTTTGATCATTAAAAAAAAAACCCCAACCATTGAGAAGCCACCTTTTCCCATACAGCTTTCCAATAGCTGATTGGAGGCAAGAATTTACTCTGCAGTTGTATATTCACTTCCCCTTCCACTTCTTTCAAAGGGAGAAATCCATAGATTATCTCTTTTCCCTTCTCTTTCTATTTCACCTTTTAAGAAGAAATTGGACGGACTGGTTCCATGGAGAGAGGTTTTTCTGCAGACTGGAGGGGGCATGGTTTTGTGTGCTGCCTGCATCCTGTGGATGGGGCTTTGCTTGTTTGTGCGGATCAGTTGCTGGCATGCCATGGCCCGGTACTGGTCTACAGACCGAAGGTTGGGGACCCCTGGACTAGAAGACCTCCATGGCCTCTTTCAACTCTGTTATTCTGTTAATACCTTACTGCACCCTAGCAAAATAGTTTAGGCAAAAAGTGACAACTAAAAGCTTACAGGAACCAACCACAACTGAACAGGAATTAACAAACCAAAATCTCTTTTATTCTTGACTGACACTGTCCATTCACTATACTCATCTCCAGTGCATGTATGACTCTGTATCTCTTTATCTTCATCTCTCTCTCTCAGCTATCTCTATCTCATCTCTATGTATCTAAATTTCCACTTATACAAACTAAATGAATGTATGAACCAAGTATATCAAAGAACTGTGTCAGGAGGTTGTGCAAGCTGAAATTGAAGTTGTCTCAGTGGTAATAAATCTGGAGTGACCAAGGTACGCATTTCATGCATTATTTCATTGTGAAGTTAATAACTTATATAAACTTGCTGAGCTTGAAATTTCTACAGACTATCACTTGATCTATTTATAGAATCATAGAATTGTGGAATTGGAAGGGACCCCAAAGGTCATTTAATCTAATCCTCTGAGATGTGTAGGAGAATATATTTAGCCATGACAGTCACGAAAGGTGACTGTCCAGTCTCTTCTTAAAAACTGTAAGAGAGAACTCACAATAAGGTGCTGTACAGATCTTATTGTCAGAATCATTTAAATATAATGATTCTTGGTAGTTGTAATTTGTACTCGTTATTTCTGATCTTAGTTTCTGTGGCAATGGAAATTAGGTCCTGACCATCTTCCCTGTTATGTATCTGACTGCTGATATCATATGTTGTCATGTGTTCTATTTTTCATGGCAAATAGTAGCTGAGGAAGGAGCAAATTTAAAAGGGAACAGAATTGTTTTTTTCTTTGTAATGGCCCAGCTTTCATTTCTTCCTTTTTCCCTTCACACAGATTTTAACTAAATCTCCCCACTGCTGTTTACTTTAACTCTGAACGGAAGCTGTTTCCACAAACGATTTCTTCCAAAGAGATTGAAGAATGAAGAAATTAGGTACCTTGAGGATAAGAGTAGTGGCATTGAGGTCGTGCAAGTGTCTGTGAGCTGCAACTCCAGTGGAGATGCTTAGCAGAATTTCTTTGCTTTCCTCCATGGATTGGACTGCCAGGCTGATATCATTAGTCAAGTCCCAAATGCATTTGTCACAGCCTAGCAATAAATGAAAATGCAGACAGTTGAAAAGGGATACACATTCTAGTTAGAACCCTGCAAACTCAAGTGTCTTTTCTGCTTTTTAAAAGAATGTTCCTGCTTTTTCCCTCATTTAGGAAAAATCTGCCAAAAGGATGTACAGTACAAGGAATTAAAAGTAAGATATTCAGATTCTTGTTGTACAGTTATTACCTCTAATATTGAAGTAATAAAACCCTTATATCAAAAGTATATAATGTTGCACCCAAATCTTTTCACACTTCTAGATTGCTTTAAATTCACAGAAAAACAATAATCTTAGTATACAGTGTTCCTAAAGTGAAACACCTGCTGCCTTACCTAACGAGTACAGCATATAATTAGGAAACTATAGGAAATGCCATTTTGCAGGACAGCAAGAGAAAAATTAACACATTAGTGGAAGAATTAATTAAAAGCAAAAGAAACCAACTATTCCAGAATACAAAAAAAGAAAAACAAAACTCCTATGGCTATTAATCAGCAATTTTCCAAATATAAATGGATTTATTTTTAATGAGATGCTATACAGATTTTATTTCTGAAACACTTTATCTCTGTGAATACCAGATTTAATAACAGAGATACACAGAAGAAAAGGTGTCAGTCCCTGTTTAATAATCTATCCATAGTTTAATTTCACAAAAGAAAGATCTGGACCTGAAGTTAGCTAGAAATCAAGATTGAATTTGGAATTTTTTTCCTAGTTACTTTATTAATTTATGGCCAACAACCAAAAGTATCCCTCCAATAAAATCCAGTTCTTTATTCCTAAATATATTGAGGGGTGGCCATCACTGGCAAAGAAAATGGACAAATCAATAAAGGAGAATATTTGTAGCTCAGGGTTGACATGAGGGATCCTTGGTACTCTCTGAGCTTGCTTGTTTTCTTGCAGATATTTCATTACCCAAATTAGGTAACACCATCAGTGCTAGTTCTAAATATCCCTTCAAAATAATAGGATAATTACATTTAGAAAGTGCACTTCACTTAGCTTTTCAGTTATTTTGTTCAAAAGTTGGCTACATAAACTGAACATTGAAATATGCAGAACAACTGTCTTAGATTCCAGTGGGACTAAGGTTATCTATGTGACTCCAAGGCAGATTGGACCTTTGGTGTAGAAGCCTTCATCCTGTTTTGCCCCATTTTGTGTCTTCTTTGAAAAGCCTTTCCTAGGTTGAACCTTTCCTCTTCCAGATGAATCATTGTGGAAAGGGGCATTTTTTTTTTAAAAAAAAGAGAGGACCAACATTCTTTCAAGGGTAATTTCTAGGGAGATACATCTTGGAGTTGAGACAAGGCGTGGATGGTTAGAGCTAAAGTTTATGGGCAAACCCTTCTTTTCCATCCTTCTCTCTTACTTCCTTTTCCTAACATGTTCTTGCCTCTTGTTCAGGTATCTGGCTAAACAGAAGGGTCTTCCAGAGACCTGAGAACTACAGGCTGCCTAGTCTTACTTCAGGTAATTTCCCATGCCAAACTTTAATGTACAGGTAGTCCTTGAGTTACAGCAGTTCATTTAGTGACCGTTCGAAGTTACAATGGCACTGAAAATAGTGACTTATGACCATTTTCACACTTCTGACTCTTGCAGCATCCCCATGGTCATGTGATCAAAATTCAGGGGCGTGGAAACTGACTCGTATTTATGACGATTGCAGTGTCCCGAGATCATGTGATCTCTTTTTCAAAGTCAATGGGAAAACCAGATTCGTTTAACAACTGTATTACTAATTTAATAACTGCAGTGATGCACTTAACAACTGGGGGCAAAATTCACCTAACAATCTCTTGCTTAGCAACAGAAATTTTGGACTCAATTGTAGTCGTACTGTAAGTCAACAATTATCTATTCTAATGTCTACCTCTTTTACCTCTATCATTTCATAAACTAGAGCTGGCCCAAATGAACTCAGAGTATGTATAATTTGGAGATGTAAACATGGGGAAAAAGGACTGAGTGTAGCAACAGACCACATCCCTGCTCTTCTTACTGATATCCGGGCAATCTGTGACTGGAGGAGGCATGGGAGGTTCTCCGAGGCAGTGTCCTGTTCGACGGTCACAAGGTGCTCCTCCACAGTTGCATGCTGGGAAAAGACAGGTCAATTTATTACTGTGCAGTTGTTTAAGACTGTAAGCATGCAAGTAAATAATTATTTCATACTGGGATATTGTGAGCTCTCTGAGGTAGTCTAGATCAGGGGTCCCCAACCCCCAGTCCGTGGACTGGCACTGGCCTGGGGCATGCCAGAAACTGGTCTGCGCAAACAAGCAAAGCCCCACCCGCGGGATGCAGGCAGTACATGAAACTATGACCCCTATGGTCCACAGAAAAAACTCTCCACGGAGCTGGACCCTGGTGCTCCCTGGGGACCTCTAGATAAGAAGTACTCTTCCTTTTTTTGTGTGTGTGGGGGTTACATTAATAGAATCTTGCAAGACTGAAAGTAATTCTCCCCTCCTTTCCTTTTACTCTCTGTAAAACTAGGGAGGATCCCTTCTGAATACTTCCCATGCCATCACCCCTTCTGTGAGTTGAGACATCTTTTACATGCCATTTATCCAGCCGGCGGCTCTACAGTGTACACTTGAATCTTCATTTCTTAATAGCTCTGTATCTATTTTCTCAAACTACCTTCATTTTATTTTCCTTTCCCTGGTGCTTCTTTCCTCAATCATTTTGTTCTACATTACTCTCAGTCTACAGCCATCTCAACTGCTGTCCAAAGCTCCTGACCATATGAATTTTTCTCTCTGTTGTTTTTGTCAATTGAGGTCAGTTGCCCAAGAATCAGGCACATAGGCAGACATGTGAAATAGTGAAATAACTCTTGACATTATATTTTAATGAATTTTTTTCATCCTCATTTGAAAAATACTGATCCATCTGATCATCTAAAATATTGAATTATACTGTGGCTGTGGCTTGGGAATCTCTTGCCCTCCATCCTCTAAAAAGGCACTGCATGGGCGTATAAGAAAGGTGATGTTTTTATACCCTGACCCCTTGCATCATGTATGAACATTCTGGAGCTTATTCATTCAGCTGTAGCAGCGTACTTACTCTAAGTTCAGATACAATGACTGGTTACAGAGGTCAAGACTCTTTATGCTCTTTATACAATTTTGTAGGGGGGGGGAGAAAGGGGCTTAAAATGGTGAATAAAAACAGATGTTACATAATAACCCCAAAATTGTAACATCATACTTATGATCCTAGAGTGTTAGTTCAGGTTCTTGCATTAGAATGACTGGATAGGAGGAAAGCCATTCTACTGTATGTCCCAAGCCTGAATTTGATCAATAATTTGGCATTAGAAGCAAAGCTACATCTAGGATTTTATATTATGAGGCCAAGATATGCTTTCCCTTTCCTCAAATGATATAATCCAAAGCCAATAGGCTTAGAAAAATAGCTGACTGGTAGTTGATCAAGATAAAACATGTTTGGACAAGCATTAATCACAATATAGTATAGTTTAAATCTTATTTTAGCATACAGATTCAGTATCTTACTCTATACCAGGGGTAGTCGACTTGGCTCTTTTATGACTCGTGGACTTCAACTCCCAGAATCCCTGAGCCAGCTAAGCTGGCTCAGGAATTCTGGGAGTTGAAGTCCACGAGTCATAAAAGAGCCAAGGTTGACTACCCCTGCTCTATACTATCCCTCTTGGAATTTTGGGGGGAGGGAGGAGCTGTTGTAGTCAGTGTTAACTTCTGGTAACTAGACCCTGCAGTTTTCTTGACAAGATTTTTTGGTGAAATGGTTTCTGTCAGTGTCTCCTTCTTAGGGCTGGGAGAGGGGGACTGATCCAAGGTCATTCAGTTGGCTTTGTGCCTAAGGTGGGACTGAAAGTCAGGGTCTCCCAGTTTCTAACCTAGTGCCTTAACCACTACACCAAACTGGCTCTTTATCCTTTTGTATATCTTAATAAAGCTTTAGTTAACTGGATGATTATGTTTATTAGCCTTTACTTGCTTGATCAAAGAGGTTCATTGTACAGTATGTACATCCTTTTTTACGTGTCTATATTGAACATGACTAAATGGTTCTGCAGAGATCTCAGTGAATTTAATGCTGCATTTATGTATTACCTTACAAATCCTGTTATTTTATGACACAAGGCATTTGGCATCGTGACATTTGATAATAGTTGTTTTTCTATAAAGCAAGAAATGGACCTACAGGTTTTGGGGAAAAGTATGCAATAAATCAGAAAATAATTCCAGAAACAATTATTGCAATTGAACAATAAATGTTTTTTTTAAAATCACGACCTCAATAATTTATATGTGAAACAACTCAGAAAGTTTGCAGCATAGCAGCTCTGAGGAAATTTCTGACATACAAAAAGTAACAGTCTTGCAATTTTGAATGTCTACGCTCTTACATTTACAAAATAATGCTATTTTGGTAATGGACTCATTTGCACAATCATGTTAATAGAATATCTGTGATTTCCCATTAGATGCTTGCCAATTTTATGCCCTAACTCTATAATGCTGATAAAAAATTCTTGCATTATTTTTCATATCTACCTTTTAATCTCTGAATTCTAAGAATAAAACTGGTTATATTTCTCTATAATCTTGGCATGTTCAAAATACTACAGATGAGAACTAAACCTACCTAACTCCTATAGAGAAGGTGGACAAAGTTCTCAAACGTATGTATGTATTACCTCAATTAACAGACTGTTAGCATAAATATAATATAAAGATCCTTTTAAAATCTTATTCTGCTTGAAATGTTAAATTATTTACTACTTTAAAGATTAAAAAAAAACCCAGAATAGCGTGTGCAATTTTAAAATGTTGGGCTTCTAAAGGGTTCATTTTTGGAATACATTAAAACTTTTTGGCACTTTTGTCTTATTATAATTCTAAAATTAGGTTAGTCCCTAGATTGGCTTGGTTTTTACTGTGATATGAATGTGTACACTGCTTGATTAATGCATTACTACAAAGCAGACAGATACCCTTTATGGATAATAATGTCAGTATATTAATCTGCCTTACTGTAAAGGCACAAAGAAGCAAGATTCCCTCTGAAATAATTTTCAGAGCACTAGCAAGTATATCTCCAGTTATAAGCTATCTGATATTTAAATGAAAGGTCTGAGGTTAGTGGCAATGTTCCTTAGCAATGTTCCTCCAACACTGGAGCTTTTTAAAAAGAGATTGAACAACCATTTATCTGAAATGGTATAGAGTTTCCTGCTTGAGCAATTCTGTTTCTGTTTTTTTATGTTTATATTCCCAACTTTATTTTATATATTCATAAAACCTGTTCTTGTTTGCTATAAACTCACCAAAAGTAAAATATTTCTGAGGGAGATGGGTGGTTTAGAAATATGAAATATAAATAAATACTCAACAAATCCATGGAACAAATCACATATTTTACGAAATGTAGTACCTGTGCATTTTTTGGCTATTCTAGCATCCCCATAATAACCAGGAGCACAGAGTTCACAATTGAACCCTGTGGTATTAGGCATGCAGTTGCGACACTGGCCTGTCACTTCATCACAATCCTCAACGATCAAGTTAGGATCCGAATTGCCACTGCAATCACATTTTTTGCAAGAACTGCCAATCACCAAAGGGTTTCCATAATAACCAGGAGCACATCTGGAGTGAAAATACAAACCCAGCAATTATTAATACGCATGTCTTTCAGATCTTTTGGCCTGGTGCAGGAGTAAGCAACCTTGGCTCTTTTATGACTCGTGGACTTGGCTGGCTCAGGAATTCTGGAAGTTGAAGTCCACGAGTCATAAAAGAGCCAAGGTTGCCTACCCTGGTGGCATTCTGGAGGGATAAATCAACAACAACAAGGTAGAAACCTGGAGCATTTCTGACATCCAGAAGTCTGATCTATTGCTCTGATCCCCGGAGTTCCAACGTTGAAATTTGCACTGCTGCCCTACACTTATCTAACACCAATGTCTTTCATTAAATATTACTAGCAACCTTTCCAGCTGCTGATATCTTTGAAAGAGTAGATTGGTGAGGAAAATAAATTATTAAAAAAAATCATGCCAAAAGGTCATGCTGTAATATAATTTTCACATTTCATCTGCTTGATATATTCTTCAATTTTCTGACGCAGGTGTTGAAGAGATTTGAAAAGAGGTTTGTTTTTTCTTAAAAAAAAAAACATTGTTTCCTGGGGCCATTGGGTGCTGCTTGCCCTTTCAATGGGAAACCAACTGAAATGCAGTTCATTCTTACATAATTATTAATGCTCATATGACAACCTCATGCTGTCAGCAGCCTGCTCCCTATGCCCCTTAACGTTTTGTTTAAAAAAAGGGATAATGCAAGTGCAGCCCCATTATAGGTTATACTTCCCATTCATTTGAGTTTCCATTTGCATTCATTTGATTCACATATCCTAGCCTATGCTTCTCTTCCTTTCCTCCCCTCAGTACAGATGGGGGTTTTTTATGCACCCAAAGTGTGATGGGTACTTTGTACACTTGTGAGTTGCATATGAATGTGAGTAGTCAGTCAGAGCTAGGACTAGAGAAGCAAAACGACTATGGTATATTTCTAACTTGATAAAATTAGTTAATATTATTCCTTAAGGAGTTCTACAGGGCAAGCATTTGTTGAGAAGCTGATATTATAAACCCCCTCAGTTTACTTTCAGTTAGTCTGGTAAACTAAATTACATGCACCACAACACATGAGGTCCACCTTTTCTTCTTCTTCTATTATTGTAATATATGAACACTTACTGATTTTCTCCCCTCCATTTAAGTGCAGGGATGAGAAGAAATTTTACCTGTTAAATCACACACACACACACACACACACACACACACACACACACACAGTCATAATCAATATTGAGATTTATAATTCTTAAAACATATCCTTACCTTTCACAGTTTGATCCTGCATAATGTTCTTTGCATTTACAGCGCACCACTCCATTTTTTCTGTAACAGGAGACTCCAAAGCTAAAAGTATATTAAAAGGTCATTATTAGAAATGATTACTCACACACTTATGAATGTAATCTGTATAATACAGAACCTCAATAGGTTTACGCTGAAAACCTTTGTACATTTCTTGCTGAATGCTAGAATACCTCATCCTGATCTAAGGTTTAGCCACTCCTAGGAGATAAAATTGAGGTCACAAGAAGGTAAGATAAGTAATGACCTCACTAGCCAATTTTAAATGACTTCAAAGTGAGAATACTAGTTTCCAAATAATATAATTAATAAATGAAGTAGTTGTTATTTATGCTGGTTGTCAATAGGAGAGGAACAAAGAGAAATCATATTTGTTCCCAACTGGTTTCAGTATGAACACATATGTTCAGGGTCTGTCATTTTCTTCATTTCAGTCCTTGGCTGCTTTGAAGGAGAATTATTGCTGCCAAAAATGCCAAGTGGTGTATAACTTATATACACGATCCTCTTAGAACCCTTACAACATAATTCATTCAGATTCCATTGAAGTTAATTAGATTCAAACCATAGGCAATTGCCTGCTATGGAGCCTTTATAAGACTATTAAAAAAAGAAAGAAAAATTAACTCAACCTACAATCTGAAAATTTTCTTTTAACTGAAATCTATTTGAGATAAGTTCTTTTATTAGAGCAAAGGTAAAGTAATGCAAGCTTCCAGGTGGTAGGAACTCTTCAGTGGGCAAATAAATAAAAGTGTTGAAAAGGGGAGTGGGAGGGAGCAAATATGGCTGGGAAATAACACTTTTTTCTACTCTATTTTTCCCCAGGAAAGAAAAAAAAGAGAGCAGAGATTAATTTTTGCAGCTGTATCAGTCCTTGCCACAGCTGCTGTCTTGGAATGCACAAATATTGGATCTCTGAAATTATGAATGTGTTAGAGAAATCCAGAGAAAAGCAAATGAAGGGCAACATCTGATTTTTCAATAATGTGCAAGAATAAATGAATTCAGTGTGATTTTAGCATTCTTTTATTTTGGGTAGGGAACCAATGTATCATATCAATTAGATCTGTATACTATAAACTAGCTTTCCTCAATCTGGAAAATTATCAATATATTTGGACTGCAGCTTCCAAAATTCTCTGCCATTATAATGAAAATTGGGACGCTAGTAGGGAAACTTTATGATAAGCATTATTACAATACTACCTTTTTTAATTGTCTGGTTTGGATATTCTTTGCACACTACCCTGATAACATAATAATATACTTTAATTCACATTATTTTAGATATTTTATTTCTTCTTGTAGGGCATCTTTTTTCAAATATTACTCAGCTTTTGAAAGTTGGCCTATTATAACTTACAAACTAAGACACAGAAGAACTATTCAGTAACTATGCTGTTTAGTAACCAAAAGATACAGTACATTTGCTACAGATGGTGTCATTCATTAAAGAATCACATGCTTTGCCTGCTCAATAATATTTGGCAATTCTATCTCCTCCTGAGGAATTCTGGATGCCAAAATCCAAATCACAAGGCAGTTTCTTATATATTTCCTGTAGCATAAACTTTATGGGCCAAAGTCATTTTGTCAGATTCACTGAGTAGACAATACTGGTTACAGAAATAATATAAATATATTTTTCTCCCAGAGCAAGGATTTATTAATCTAGTTTCTTCCCAGGTTACCTAGCTATCCAAAATATAGAACATAGGTGAGGTAACAGGTGGGTGGTAAATCTCAAACAACTCCCTTCAGATCAGGTGGCCAGAAATGAGTTTTTCTAACACCAGCAAGATTGGCTGTATGGAGCCCATAAGTTCCAGAGAATTCGGATGGGATTGTTGAGTAGTTAATCAAATGCAAATAAAGAACACTGTATTTTTTTTTGAAATACAAAAAAAATGATCCAAAGATTCTGGCTTCTGTTCTATTTCATCTGCATGTCTAAGCCACTATTCTCTAGAGTTACTATGAGTGCATTTATTTCCCTTGTTTGGAGATGTTTATAAGGTCAGAGAAACTTTTGTTTGAGATTGTCATGAAAAATAATACTCGCACATTGCCTTCTGTTAACATTTTAATGACATCATTTCAACTCTGTTTCATCCCTGGAGTATTTTTCTCCTCTACCTCTTTTACACAGAGTTAATTCCTTATATATTGAAAGGAACTCCAGTTCCGGACATCATAATAATAAGCTAGAAGTATTTCTGTATATTTTGTAAGAGTTTAAAATAATTTCTATGGAATTAAAAAAATTAATCACATATGCTGACATTTGAAATAACTGGTGTTCAGTTGTCCCAGGATTCTTCTGCAAGTTCCCAAGCTATCCGATACGAATGGAGATAATCTTCCAGACCCCCCATGTCTGCTCAGAAAATCCACCATAATCCCTACAGATGAGTTCCAAGAACAACTGTGTAAATAATGAAGCTGCCAGTTTAAAGAACTTGATACATTTTTGGTCAGACTTCATAAATCCCTATTCTGTGTTACTCATACAGTCAGTTTCTTTGTTGCAAAACAGCAAAGCAAGCCTTTGTTTTCCATAACTTTTAAGGAATTACATTCCTGTAATAACACATTTTTAATGTAAAAGGAAAAAGTGAATAAAGTGAAAATAATAATGCCAATAATACTTTGAGAATGTATACCCAAATCCTAACCACTCTAAGGCCAGGGAAAAATGGATGTGTCCTTTGTTTAAACTATTAATTGGAGAATGTCTCTTTTGTTTGAAAAGGGGCACACAGCACAGTAGCTTTGAATGTGGCTCTTGATAGGATCAATTAGACATAAACCAGATTTTAAATCAGTTAATTGGCAAAATTTCCATGACAATGATGGAAAGATGAGTTAGAAACAAACATTCCTTGCCTTGATGGAGATGTGAAATGGGGTTGCAAATAAACGGAAATCCTAAAGATGATGGCAGGATATTTTGCAATTCAGAAGTTTATTTTCTAAGAAAAAATAAAATAACCTCTGGTACATATAGATAGTAGAATAAATTCTGGTTGAGATATCTGGTGGGGTGGAGGGGTACATATATGCATGTGTGTTGAATAGTAAAGCATTTTCTATAGAGAATTTGCAGAAAATGGAAAGACGCCTGTCAGAAATCAGAATAAATAACAATGCTGAATGGGGAAAAGTCCGCTTTGGGTTACAAGCCTCAGCAGGTGACAACATTTAGTTAATTTTGGATGATCTCATAAAGCTAAGCAGATCAGGCCAGGTTAGTCCTAGGACACGGATGTCAAACTCGCCTCGTCACGTGTTGTGTCACGATGTATCATGACTTTTTCCATTGCCTGAGCTGGGATGGGCGCAGCCTCCATATAATGCAACCGGCCCGCGGACCACCAGTTTGACACACCTGTCCTAGGATGAGAAACTACCACAGCTGTAGACTAAACTAAGAAGTTGAAAATTTTTTTGAAGGCAATAGCAATCCATTTCTATATTGTCACCAAGAGCATGCTGAAGTTGAATTCAACTTGAAGGAGTCTTTGTGGCTTCATTGTGGAGCCTGTAAGTGTCTGCCTTCCTGTGGTGAAAAATCTACACAGAGAGCCATTCCTTCGTGAAAGATATATTTCCTCCAAACAAGAATATGTGTGAAAGTTGGATTCCAGAAAGAAACTAAATATGTGTGCATATCTGTGTATGGTAGGTAGTGAAGGTGGGGGTGCTTAACCTAAGACAGTTTACAATGTAAATATATGCACTGGATAATTTTCTAAAGAAAAGTGTGTATGGAGATTGTGAGTCATCCAGGTCATGGTTGTCCCAAAGGTGCTTTTTTTTCAAATGGCAAGTGTACTTTCTTGTTTTTCTTTGAAGACGTTTTGCTTCTCATCCAAGAAGCTTCTTCAGCTCTGACTGGATGGTGGGGAATGGAAGGATTTATATTCCTTGTAGACAGTTCGTCATTTGCATTATTTTAAAGAAAAACAATATAAGAACTCCATTGACTGAAAAGCCAAAAGATAGATGTCCCCCTTTTTTTTGGTTAAGCATACTAGAAAAACATACCTATCATAAAATGTAAGTTTTTCAGAGTGAATTTATTTGATGCTATGTGTAGTATATTAGGATTTTACCATATAGTGTATTAACATTTGTCTCCATGAAATTACCTGCATGTGTACACTAGAGATTAACAAGCATTTTTCCATTCAGTGTTTTAAAGTTTAGGGACAGGAGAGAAAGATGATCGGAGAGAATGATAGCTCTAGCAACTCACACTATTAAAAAGATATCCCTAAAAAGAAGGAAATCTGTCCCCTTTCCCACATCATTTTTTCCCAAGATCTCAGGTCACAGAAGACAGTATATTACATTTAATGAGAGGTGTCACTTTTAGAGCGTGATTCAACACTTGTTCTAAATGGGTTGAATTGAACTAATTTCCTTAACTGATGAAAGGCTTCTGGCAAAGGAACATTTTCAGAAACTCAAGCTCCTCTCATAGAGTTTCTGTGCTTCCTTAAAATTGTACCAATAATAAAATCTATTGGAACTTTAAGGATCTTGCCCATTTTTCAGTAAAGCTCTTATGTTGTGCTGTGATCAAAGTTGGTTCCCCTAAAGCGATGAAATCACTTTAAAGAAATGACATAATTTTGTGGCATGCAATCAGTAATACAGGTAGTCCTCGACTTACGATCACAATTGAGCCCAACATTTGTTCTTAAGTGAGACATTTGTTAAGTGAGCTTTGCCCCATTTTATGACCTTTCTTGCTACAGTTTTGTTACGTGTATCACTGCAGCTGATAAGTTAGTAATCCGACTGTTAAGTGAATCTGGCTTCCCCATTGGCTTTGCTTGTCAGAAGGTTGCAAAAGGTGATCACATGACCTTGGGACACAGCAATGGTCATAAATATGAACCAGTTGCCAAGCATCTGAATTTTGATCACATGATCATGCAGAAGCTGCAAAGGTCGTAACTGTGAAAAATGGTCATAAGTCACTTTTTTCAGTGCTGTTGTAACTTTGAACAGTCACTAAATGAACTGTTGTTAAGTCAAAGACTACCTGTACATTATACAGTATATTATATACTGGACTCCCACAAAGCTTTGCATTTTGCTGAACAGCCATAAAGAAATGTAGAACCTGAGTTTATATATCTTTGGCTCTCCACGTTGCAAAGAAAAGACACTGAAAAAGGCAGACGTGGTAGAAATTACAGTGTGATACTGGACTGTTGTGGGTAAACCCATTCGTGTGACATTATTTATCCATTCCTACTATGTCAGTCTCTGAGATATGGTCAGTGAATAAAAAATCTGGTTTACTGTATCACAGTTCCTGACTAAATCTTCTCCATGTTGCTCTTCAAGGTCAATTCAGTTTGCTGTGAATGTTTTTTTACAAGGGTATTTTCAACAGTCCATGTGTACTGGGGGAGGAGAGGCATCTCATAGATTTGGAGATACTATACCTTTTACCACCACAGCTCCTCAGAGGGTGACCTCCTATGAATATGTAGGGCACACTCTAAGAAAGAGTTCCTTTCAGCTAAAGGCATTCTCATAAATCTAGTTGAATAAATGTAATTGTTTCCCATAGACTTGTATTCATTTCCCTTGTTGTATCAATATTTTCTTTTGTGTGTTCATCTTTTATCCATGTTATAAAACATTTAAATCTAAGAGACAAACCAAATGGCTTTATCTCCACTCATTGGAACAGATCCCAAATATTACTAATCCATTATCCACATTAGGCATAGAGCAGGGATTTTCAACCTTTTCACCCATTGTACCACTTTTAGGATAAGGCAATATCCGAGTACCACCAGTCGCCTAGCAAGGTGTCAAAAACCTGATGACCAAAAAAAAAAAAAAGGAAAAAAGTGCTAAAGTACAGGTAGTCCTCGACTTACAACAGTTTGCTTAGTGACTGTTCGAAGTTACAATGGCACTGAAAAAAGTGCCCCCCAAGCCACAGCCGAGCAAGACACCTGCCTGCCCACCCGGCGGCGCTCTTCCTCCTGTCCGAGATTTTCACTGTTGTGAGCATTTCTGTTGAGGATTGGCGGCGGGGGTGGGGGTGAGGGGTGATTGGTTTTTATTCCCCCCGTCTGCTGGGTGGTTGCAGCAGGTTTTGGTCACTTCACATGACCCTGGGACACTGTGATCATCATAAATATGAATCAGTTGCCAAGCATCTGAATGTAAATCATAAGACCCTGGAGATGCTGCAACATTCCAGCTGATTGGCGCTTCTTCTGGGCTCAGCAGAAGCGCCAGGATCAGCGCCGAGCTCCAGTTGGATCCTGGCGCTGATCCTGGTGCTTCCACTGAGCTCTGACAGCCCTGAAGAAGCGCTGATCCTGGCGCTTCCGCTGAGCCCTGACAGCCCTGCAGCTCCAGCCATCTCTCACTCAGGCTTGTGCGGTGCTGCCACCTGTTCAGCTCATTCCCCTCCCCCGCTACCACTTTTCTAGGATGGTCGTGTACCACCTGCCAGGTGCCAATGTACCACAGGTGGTACCCACACCACTGGTTGAAAAGCCCTGGCATAGAGCACTGTAAACTGAAATCTTTTTTTTAATCATATAGTATAGTTAATTGCACCATAATATATCTACCAAAGGGAAAGAAGTAGGCAAGGATATTTTTTCCTTCATCTTTTACAGTTTCAACATCTGTCTTCCACAATGTATTTTTGCAATGTAAGCTATATGTATGAATTCATGGAAGAAAAAAGTAATAAATGCCTTGGAAGCAAGACTAATAGTTCATCCGTGCAGTCTGTCAGCTTAAAGGTTACGAAAATTGTATGAAATTGGGCTGCTACTGAAATGGAAATTATAAGGATAAGAAGTGACAATTTATTAGGATCATAGAACTATTCAGGGTTTGTGTCAGAAAAATGACCATGAATTCTGTGTTATCTATTTATTAGTAAAAGTCTTGTGTCTGTAACTTTTAACTGGGTGAAATGGTGCAGCATAGAGTAAATTTTTTTGAACCAGGTTATCTTAACTTATAGAATGTGCCCCAATCCAGAACCCATAACTCCCATGGAATTGGAACTAGGGAAATGTTATAAAACAATTACCATAAAGCATTTTATGACACAATACAAAAAATCATAAAACATTTCCTGTGGTCAATTCCTGATGTTTGATTGTGTTATAAAAGTTCAACATGGGCTACTTTGAAGGAAGATGCATCTCTGAATACATCCCTGAATTTTTAAGAACTTTTCAAGTTCATTAGAAGCTATGACACTGCTGAAGCCATTGAGGAATCCAATAACAAAGTATCTCTGAAACAATGACCCAGGCATCATGGATTGTTTAGTTGAATATAAGTATGGGGTTTCCATTCACTCCTCATAATGGGCTCTTATGAATTTCCTTCAGAAGACTGAATACTTCGGCTAGATATATCACATATATTTCACATATGTAAATGTCCTTAACATTTCTATTAATTTGGATTGCTGTCATGATCTGTAATATAGTTGAAAAGCCTTGTCTGAAGATTTGAGACATATTTGCCTGACAGCATCTGTACCCAAATTTGCTGCTATGGTTCCCAAACCAGGAAATTAAACTAGATCCTTGAAAGAAATAGATACTTCTTTTTCAGGGCACACTTGTACTATAAATTCGTTCCCTCCAGTTTGGTGCATCAGGCTAGAAACCAGGAGACTGTGAATTCTAGTACAGCCTTAGACACAAAACCAACTGGTGACTTTGGGCCAGTCATTCTCCCTCAGTCTTAAGAAACAAGCAATAACCACTTCAGGAGTCAAAACTGACCCAAAGGGTCTCACACACAAGTTAGATCACAAATAAAAGAAAAAAAGATTAAGTATAATGTCTGCAACATCAGGCAACATACACTAATGTAATTTTTTTTAAGGTAGATTAAAGCTCAATGAAGTTTGGATGTGGATTTTTTTTTCAGCAGCAGGAGCGATGGCTATAATAACTAACATCATTTGAAAATAAATATTGGTTTGCCTACTTGGCCACCAGAGGCAAGGGACAAGGGCAAGGTTGGCAGAAGCTGGGTGCCCCTCTGGTCACATCACCCAGGTAGCCTTCTGGACATTGGTCACAGTGGTCTCCAGTTGTGTTTCTTTGGCAGTCCTGTAATATGAGAAAGAGAGAGAAGGAACACATACGGATTACTTATTCAGACTATCCAGAAATTATTGAAGTGAACACTCTTGGCAATCAGTGTAAGAAACCCGGTGCTGATGTGGTGATCAGGTGTTTATTGACTGATAAAAATAAGATTTTAGAATTGTATTTGGACTTTTGAAACAGAACATGTCAGGCTTGCTAACAAAGCACTAACCAAATAGTTTGCAAGATATAATTTCAGAAGGCATATTTCTGCAGCCTGCCCAGAGCTGCTTGGTGCAGTCCTTTCTTGTTCTATAAGCCATTCCACCACCACCCTGATCATCACTGCTCACAGTGAGATCTACATTAAAGAATTCATTTCTTGATGCCTGCTTGGAATCAGTTTACTGATGAACATGCTGGCTAAGCTGTAATTATCAATTCATTTCCAAGAGCATCCATACGGGTATAAGGAATGGTTCCAGTTCTTAAATGTTAATGATTGAAGAAAGGCTCTTGAAGAAGATCACAGATTAGATGCAAAGAAAAAAACAAACTGCTGCCGCCTCACTTTATTCAAAATTCAGAGGCTTGGGTTCTTTGACATACTGATGTATGCCAGGTTACTTTAGAAAATGACTGTGTAGAAATAGAAAGAAAGGCTGCAATCTCCCATATTTCAATGCATCCAAGAAGATGGTTTCATTTAGTTCTGTTGTAAAAAAGATTTCTTGGTGGCTTCTGCACGGTTTTTGTTTGTCATTTTGCATTCTTGTTTGTTGAAAAGGCAGAACACCCTTTTCTTATCTTTTTCTCAGTAAACAGAAAGAAAGTTTTTAAGTACACAGAAAGGAGTGCAGTTTTTAATGTCAGCCTCTGGGTAAAGATTGCCTACATATGATCTTTAAACCTAAATGTGTGAGGACCCCGCCCTACTTTTTCTTTTAGAAACGTTCCTTCCTCCCAATTTTGGGAATTTGATGCAAGGACAATTTACAAGAGAAAATATGGAAATATACTGAGTATTTCAATATGCTCAATTTGTTCTGAATGCAGAGATGGCTGATTTCTCTAATCCATGCCACTTTTGCCAATGAAGCAAGCTTCGTTTATTGTATTTTTATGTTGTTCTCTTCCAAAATGGCTCTAAGCAGGATGAAAAAGAAATATTAGGAATTATACACTGTGCTCTGAAAAAAAATCACTTGTGTATGAAGGGTTTGTTACAAGACAGGAACCATTCTGATTAATGCTGTTTTGAGTGTTTGTTCCTGACTTGAGTGGAGATACAAATATTTTTTCGGCATCTTGCAAAGATATATTTTACCCCTGCTTGGGCCAGTAAAGAACTAGACATATCCTGCTGCCACTGGTTTAGACTGAGCATCTCTCTGTGTGCATCTACATGAAGGGGTCTATTACAGAAAATCTGCAAACATTTTAGCAGACATGGTTTATTTTCTTTAAGGATGATGCTTTCTCTGTTTTTAGATATTTAAATGTTATTTCACAATTCTTGCCTGGAGACATCTTGCTCCAGCCCAGCCTTTACCTGCAATACATATACTGTATGAAATGTGTTATTTCTGAATAGCAAACAATAGCAAATCTCTACAGCTTATGTTGCCCAATTCTTAATTCTTCTGTTTCCAATTTGCAGACTTTTTGAAGCATGAATGGTTGACAAGAGTCTGGTGCCTACTGCTTATGTGGCCAGTGAATATCAACCCAGACGTTTTTTTAATAGGGGCTATAAAGGTTAAGGTTATGATCAGGTTCACTGCTAAGTGCTGCTTAAAGAAGCAGAGGAAATGAAGCTATAAACATTTTTACAGAGACCATAAAAATGATTAAAAAAACCTCTAAGGATAAGTTGACTTAAACAGTTGTCTCATTCCTTATAAGTCTTTTAAAATCCATGACAATGCTGGTTTAGATCCTGGGGGGATGTATATATTTGCCTTTTTTTTCTCCTAAAGGGAGTAGCTGGACTTTCCCCCCCTGAAAAATGTAAGCTTACTGTGCAAAGGATAAGAGTTTGCCCATCTGGAAAAGGAAGTGATGGTGGTAGTTGCCTAGTAAATGGCAAAATTGTGACTTAGCTAAGCAATGCCTTGAATTTTTAATAAGCACTGAAATTGCCAAAGTTATAACTAAATAAACTGAACCAACTAAACTTTTCACAAAACTAACTAAACCTTTCCCAAATTTGCTGGCCAGTCAGAATACCTGTTTCTGATTCCCGAGATATATCACTAAGCTGCCAAAGTTCACTCAACCTTGACCAAACTTGGAATAATTCTAGAGGCAATCCAGAGCTTCAGGGATATCTAATTTTTGATTCCAGTTTTGATCCCTAAAATAGCTATCATTTAGGAGTAATCAAATGTTATAGAATGTTTAGAGTGCAAGAGATGAATATAACCATACAGTTCACACTTATGATGTTATCTAGTTGGGTAATGAAACTCTGCAAACAAACAACCAACATCAGAATGCTCCAAGGACTCCACAGTTCACACTTAATGTGGAAAGGCCTTCTTAACATAATTAATACACTTTTATGTTCTTTTTGTTCTTTTGGTTTCAATTTGGATTGAATTAGTATGTTAATTTTTAATGTACCTATGTATGGTAGCATAAATTATAGCTTAAAGTATGTTGGAATACGTAATAGACCTTGGGCATGTTGCTTCTTCACTTAAGGGATGAAATAAGGTTATTGCAGAAGAGTATTCCAGAGAGAGGAAGGGTGATAAAGCGATTCAGAGCAATTCCACCTTAGGTACACTAGCTCTAAGTAGTGTGGAATTGTTAGTTTGGTAGGCTTTAAAGATTCTGTTGTATTATCCCACTACCAATAAATCGAATTCCAAAAACCCAAGTACTTCTTTATTCCTATACCTGCCAGCTTCACAGGGCTAGAAGTAAGGGTGCTCAATAGCATACAAAATTATTCAAAACCTTTTTGAATACAAAGTTATTCAAAATCTTTTTGTTAGCATTTTGGTTATTTTCTATGGAATGATTTGACAAGACACTTTTGTTGTTTTATTGCTTCAGACATCTTGCTTCAGATTTCTTTGTGCCTGCACGTTTGCATACATTAAGGTGTCTGAATTCAAAGCTTGTAAAAACACTAGATTATCAAATTATCATTATATTCTTATTTGGGTCTCTTTCTGCTTTGAAAATTTGGTTCAAGCTGTGGAGACATCTTGTCCGATGCAAAAATTCTGGAGTGCAATCCATGGTGTCTGCAGCAAAATGTGATGGCACCAAATGCACCTTGTAGAGATGATAATTATACAAATGTCATCATTGCATATTGGGTTCTGACATCTGACATACACATAGAGCAGACATGTCAAACACAAGGCCCGGGGGCCAGATGCGGCCTGCGAAGTGGTTTCATGTGGCCTGCGAAGCCATCCTGGAAACAGTGAGGGAACGGCCCTTGCTGCCGTGGCCCTGGCCCAGGCCAGCCGGGAGCCAATATACAATTTTGTGGTGGCCATCTATGCTAAAACGCATTTAGTCTTAGTTCCACAAGGCTGTCCAGAAACAGCGAGGAACCAGCCCCTGCCACATTGGCCCTGCCCCCTGGGTGCATGCTGGGGAGGTGTCACCCTTTGTGAGGAATGAAGAAATGGACCATGCCTTGGCGCTTGCCCCGGCCCCACCCCCTTCTGCCAGCGACCCTCAGACCTGTCCCACTCCTGCCCAGGCCCCCACAGGCACCCTTGACGCGAACGATGTAGAGCTGGCCATGCCCACCCAGTAGGCCACACCCACTCCATCCACACCCACCCAGTAGGCCGCACCCACCCTGGCCACACCTATTTGGCCCCCTGAGGGCAATGCTGATGCGGCCCTCAATGAAATTGAGTTTGACACCCCTGACATAGAGGATGCGCAATAAGTCATTCATGTTGGGCTTGTGGGCTTCAAAAAGCAATCATTCATATGTGAGCCAGCATTTCAGCAGTGAAACAAAGCCCAAGGCAACCTCCTAGCCAGCCAGAATCATTCGGTAGTGAGATGGGCAGCATTAAACATTCAACAAACAAACTAAATCTCTTGAAAAAAACTAGAGGACAGAAAAGCAAGCTTACAAAAATCAGAAAATATCTGACTTCATGGGACAGGAGTCATAATAACGACTACTTATGAGGATCATAAAGGCATTCACAGACAATGCAAAGCAAGAGAGATTACCTACCACACAAATACCAGATCCATCAAGACACTTGTAGGCATTGTTATTGCAGTTGCAGGGGCTGCAGTGGCCTGAAATGGTGTGAAAAAACCCTTCTTGGCATTTCTGCAAGAAAAATCCAAGGGGGAAAAACATGTAATTGGCTATATTTTCCCAGCTTTTGTTTTTTTTATAACCTATATATTACATGTAGCTATAACTCAAGATAAAAAAGACACCCCTACAATTTTAAAAATAAGAATAAGATCAAGAAAAACAAGTGCAGCTGCTACAGCTCAGATTTGGTTAGTGCTAATATTTTTCTTAGCTCTGGCATTTTCAAGATGTATCAGCTACAATCTTAGCAACATGGCCATAGCAAATTTTTATTATTAGACATTTTAGACAACAAACCTTCAAAATGACCTTGTCTGATAATACAGTTCTTCCGAATCCATATATCTAAATAAGACACATCAGGACAAGCATGCAGAAAGGATGATAAGTCAGGGATAAAAAGCTAATCTAAATATAGGCTGTATACATCCATTAAGGCACACATTTGTTAAGGCAATTTTAGCAGATTGGCAGCAAGGTATCACAGATGGGACTGATCTGCCACTATTTTTTAAATTATTTTTTTCCCAGTGGTTATAAAGGAAGGCAATGTCTTATGCAATGGCCAATAAAACAGATAAAATAAGCTTTTAAAAATAGGATGATAGGCACTTATTTCAATGTCAACCTTCTTTTTGATGAATCTTTGGACACTAAGAATTGAGGTTTTGATTTTTCATGGAGCAAGTGAACTCAGAAGATTACTGTGAAGTTTCTATCAGTATAAAGGAAATAAATACAATCCCAAATGTGGTCTGCCTCCATTTATCCTCCAGTCCTAACTATTTGAGTACAGCTTATACCACCATCCCCTTCTCCTTTTGTTGTGTTCTTTGTATTCCCCCCCCCTTAATCCCCTATGCATATCCTGATCACCCATTAAGGGTGATTGCCCTTCACCATTGATCGCCCATTAAGGGTGATTGCCCCCAGTCCGGATTTACCTTATGCCTTGCCAATAAACCAAGAGCTGACTGTCACTCGACTCGTGTCTTACTGCCTGCGCGATCTAACACTGGCGACGAAGGTGGGATCCCAGTAAGACTGCACGACAAGGGCAACCTCGTGGCAAGCAATCTACTTCGAAGCAAGAGCTCCTCCACGCAGCCTTCCGAAGCAAGAAACTNCGACTACGAGTTGATCCACAAACCCGGGACCAGCATCAGCCACGCAGACGCTCTCAGCCGATGCCCAACACCCGGCCACATCGCCGACCCAGCACCGTTTGCCACCGTGCTCCTGGTGGATGTCGACTCCTCCAGCCCGGTCACCTCGAGAGATGTCGCAGAGCACACCAAGAAGGACAAACTGTTGGGAAGGGTTTTGTTGGGTAAATGTGGTGGGGCAGGGAGGAGAAAGAGTGAAATAAAAGTAAACTGGAGATTAAATGGTCCAGGCCCAAATAGCCATGCAGGGTGATGCTGGATTGATTATCCAAAGATGCAGAGATGCTAAAGCTCCTTGTTTCAAGATCGTAGGAATGGGGTTTTCCTTGAGCAAGCTGAATAGATTTGGGTGGACTTGGCAGTTGGGTCAGACTTGCTGAACACTGCTGAGTTAAAGCAGGGAAATGAGCTTCAGCAAAAAGATCTGCTGAGAAGGTGCTCCAAAGCTTCAAAGAACATCAGTTTCTTGTGACTGGCTACCCTGGTTGCTTGGACCTTCCCTGTGACAGAGTCCCTGGTAGAACAAGTCTTCACAACTGGACCCTGGTTGCACAGACCCTGCTTTGGGCTCTGTATTGGTTTGGGTGTAGTTTATTTTGGCTTCAAAGTTAGGCTGTCCAATGATACTTTTATCTCTCCCAATCCCTAACCCAGACAAAACAGAACAAACCATTGTTAATAAAACATTCGGCAAATCTCAATCTGTCCCATGTCCCCAATGGGGGATCAACATGTCAACTTGGCAACCATGACTGCACTATCAAAGCTCTAGCTTTTTTAAAGCATGCAATGATCTTTGCAAGGCAAAATTATTCATTCAGTCAGTCAGTCAAATTTGTTTTATCTGCCCAACTCTGGCTGACACTTTAAAAGTTAAAAAAGGGTGGGGTTTCATTTGTAGTATTTCCCCACACCCTAGATGTCTCTGGTCTCAAGTACCATGTCAAGCCCCATGGGCTCAATATTCAAGGGAGGGGGGAACGCACAGACCGCTGTCAAAAGCAACACCGCCGAACAGCTGGGAGGCCCACCGAACAGCTGGGAGGCCCACCGAACAGGTGGGAGGCTGCCGAATAGCTGGGAGGCCCGCCGAATAGCTGGGAGGCCAATTGGGTCGCTTCCGGGACCGCCGATCAAATGGCAGTCCCGTATGGCCTCTGTACCGCCAGCAGCCATCCGCAGCACCACCAGACAGCTGGGAGGTCTCCGATTAGCTGCAGGCTGCGAGGCGAAGGCAACAATGATGATCTCTGGAGGGCTCGGGATAGAGGCTGTTCCTCTATCCTGGTCCTGCTAGACCTCTCAGCGGCTTTTGATACCATCGACCATGGTATCTTGTTGCACCGGTTAGGGGGGTTGGGATTGGGGGGCACCGTCTTACGGTGGTTCTCCTCCTACCTCTCAGACCGGTCGCAATTTGTGTTGGCAGGGGGGCAGAGGTCGACCTCGAGGCGCCTCACTTGTGGGGTACCACAGGGGTCGGTCCTCTCGCCTCTCCTGTTCAACATTTATATGAAGCCACTGGGTGAGATCATCCGTGATTTCGGGGTGGAGTTTCATCAGTACGCAGATGACACCCAGCTGTACATCTCCACCCCGGACCACCCCAACGATGCCGTAGAAGTGATGTCCCGGTGCCTGGAGGCCATGCGAGTCTGGATGGGGAGGAACAGGCTTCGACTCAACCCGTCCAAGACCGAGTGGCTGTGGTTTCCGGCGTCACGACATAGCCAGTTGGCTCCATCTCTGGCTATCGGGGGCAAGTCATTAGCTCCTGCGGAGACAGCCCGCAACCTGGGCATCCTCCTGGATGCTCGGCTGTCTTTAGACGATCATGTGACGGCCGTGGCCAGGGGCTTTTCATCAGGCTCGCCTGATACGCCAGTTGCGCCCCTTTCTGGATCGTGATGCTCTACGCACGGTCACTCAAGCCCTCGTTGTTTCCCGCCTGGACTATTGCAATGCTCTCTACATGGGGCTCCCCTTGAGGTGCACCTGGAGGCTCCAGCTAGTTCAGAATGCGGCCGCACGGGGGATTTTGGGGGCCTCTAGATACTCCCATGTAACACCTCTCCTGCACGAGCTGCACTGGCTGCCGGTGGCCTTCCAGGTGCGCTTCAAGGTGTTAGTAACAACTTTTAAAGCACTCCATGGCAATGGACCTAGGTATTTGCAAGACCGCCTCCTACCAAATATCTCCCTTCGACCAGTCCGCTCCCACAGAGAGGGCCTCCTTAGGGTGCCGTCGGCCAGTCAATGCCGGCTGGCGACCCCCAGGGGGAGAGCCTTCTCTGTGGCAGCTCCTGCCNATCAGCGCGAGGGCATCGGCCTCCCACATATCTGAAGGACTATGTAACCACTATTCACCAAGGACGATAGCAAGAACTTTGAGGGGAGGGGTGTTGTGTTCTTTGTATTCCCCCCCCCCTTAATCCCCTATGCATATCCTGATCACCCATTAAGGGTGATTGCCCTTCACCATTGATCGCCCATTAAGGGTGATTGCCCCCAGTCCGGATTTACCTTATGCCTTGCCAATAAACCAAGAGCTGACTGTCACTCGACTCGTGTCTTACTGCCTGCGCGATCTAACACCTTTCTTGGGAAAACACAGAATTGTTGTTCCATTTATTGCCTCTAATATTATCAGAATATTTGGCTAATTGTGTGATTTAAGTGATTTAATATTTCTTGGTGCAAAAAGAGTTGATTAGAAGACTTATGTAAATATAGGGACTAATCAAACTGGCAAGCTACTTTGTTTTCTTCCGTGAGCAAAAGTAACAGGCTTGCTTTGACCACTCGCCTATAATTCTTTTTAAAACAGTAGGTGGGCTGAAATAGTTCTTACTTCAATTCTTTCTTCAGCATTAGCATTCTTATTTGCTATGGAGATCAGTTCAAGCCCAGGGGAGAATTTTTTTTCCCAACCCAAAGAAGAAAAGACCAGTCCTGTTACTAAACATGATTAAGTCTCGAAAGTGTTTTGACACCTGCATTTTGTTTTTTGTGTGGGTTTTTTTTTTTAGGCAAAGGCATCTGTAGCTCCAGAATAGCTAAGTTATGAATGTTGTCTTCCTTTATAAATAATGAAGTGCCTTATTCAAACAATAAGTACAATTACTTCCTCTTCCTTTTTAGCTTATCTTATATCAGGCATTGTTATATTTTGTGAAGCTGAGAAATAAAAGATAAGCACACAGTCTTTAAAATGAAAGGAAATGTCATAGTCAAAACAGAAATAAAATGACTTCAAATTAAGCTGGGAATGTCTGAATTGACAAGTGCTTTATATATTAAAAGCTAGTGTACTTAAAATTTTGTACAATGTTGCACAAGCAAACTTGTATAGACTAGAATTTTGAATTATGAAGAGGAGAACATTTATGAAGCCATTTATGAACTCCTATGAATGGAGTTATGTTAATTGAACCAACTTGCTGACTTCTCATGTTTATGAACATTCTTATTTCGGTCCAATTCATAAGAGTGCAATTGAAGCTTGAGAAAACTTAAAAACAAGGCTGATTGGCAGGATGCAATTTTTGTAAAGCAACTTATATCCTTTGATCTGGATTTTTTTATCTACTATTTCAAAGTAGTTTTGGATAATCATTGTAGTACTGAAAATAGTGAAAATTACTTTTGTGGAAAAATATGTAAGGTTACAATTTTTTAAAAGATGCCACTGCATATGTTATGAGCTATGAACATCTTCCTACTGTACTGTACCTGCTAGTGATGACTTCATGAAGAAGACATCACCACTGCATGAATAACTCATTTTTTTTATTCCCTGCTTTTCCAATAAACACACAAATGGAACTGAAGAAGCTTCTTGAA